ATCTTGATCGCTTTGGCGGCCAGTGCTGGTATTGCGTGTCTTACTGGTTCTCGGTATTAGTTCCGGTTCCCAACCCGCGCTTCCTCCTCAGGCGGATGGGCATCATCTCTCTCCCTTTTCCCTCCTTCTATCATATTCCATTCAACATTTTCGCTCCTTCTCTTCTAAGAACGTTGCGTGGTCGTGGTGGGGTTCATTTCACTCCTTTCACCCAATCTATACCACCAGCACCACCTTCCGCATTCTTCCCGTCTACTTCCCTTATGAGCTTGGCTCTCATAGTTCGAAATGCAGACTCATTATTTCCGTTCGCCGAATAGCCAACCTCAAGCGGGTGTGCCGTATGAGTTGCCCCCGGTGCAGTCGGTAACTTCACCCTCGGGACCCTTCCAGCAGGGCCCTCCTCCGGGTGCTCTGCTTTCCGCTCCGCCGAGCAGACCCGAGAGCGGATTGAGGATGCCCCATCTACTGCAGCCGTTGGCACAACAAATCCCCAACCCTCCCCCTCCGCCTCCTTCATCCTACTCACGCTCCTATGAGTCCAGTGGCTCACCTGCGGAGGGTATTTCGATGCTTCCCGATGCGCCGCCTCTCAATGGACTTGGATCCGGCCCCCCGGGATTGCTTCAGCCCAGTGCGGGGCCGCAGCAGCAGCAACAGTTGCAGCAGAAGAGGGCCTATCGCCAGCGACGAAAAGATCCCAGTTGCGATGCCTGTCGAGAGCGCAAAGTTAAGGTATGCTTGGCCTGATTCCTGTTCCATTATGGCTTGGCAGCGCGCCGTGATTGACCCTTGAGCCAACCTACTAGTGTGACGCATCCGAGTCGTCCAGCTGCACCGAATGCACAAACCGCAAAGTGCGCTGTCAATTTACCAAGGAGACCAACCGGCGCATGTCTTCCATAAAGTGCGTTCGCTGAAATTCACCCGTTTGATGGTTGTTGAATGAGAACAACTCGTGCTGACTCAATCTGTAGACAGGTGCAGGATCTAGAGAAGCAGCTCATCACGACCAAACACCAGTTGCAGCAACTCCGATCCGGCATGCTGAGATCCGATAACCTGATGGACCTGGATATTGACGGAGCAGGACAGCCCCAGTTGAAGTTACCGGACCTTGGATACCGACCCCAGCGCCGGCCTAAGGCCGTCGTCGCAGGTGATCTGACCGAGGCACGTGTCAACCTGCGCAAGTATGGCAGAGGCATCATGCACGTGCCTACACCGTATCGCCAACAGGGCCCCAAATCGTTGTTGACGGCCGACGCCCCGCCACTCCCGTCGAAAGACATCGCGGATCGTCTCCTGGCGCAGTACTATGCGTGCATCCATTCGGTTCTGCCCGTCCTTCACTGGCCAACCTTCATCGCCGAGTACGAGAAGGTCTATCAAGCGCGCTCCCTCTTGGGGATGCCACGAGAGTGGGTCTCGGTGTTGTTTGCCATCTTCGCTTGTGGTTCTCTTCATATGTTGGAGAAAACGAGGGAAAATGATGGTAAGGAATTTATCAAGATTTCTTGCGGAGTTATCGATGTGTGGCAGGACAACTTCACCCTCGATCAGGCCCGGGCAGCTTTGCTGGTCAGCATATTCTTGTATGAAGTGAATTCGAAATCTGCTAGCTGGGTCTGGATCGGTTCTGCCGTCCGGGTAGCGCAGGAGATTGGCCTGCATATCGAATCGGGGCCGTGGTCCACACTCGAAGCCGAAACGCGAAGGCGACTTTGGTGGGGGATGTACGCTTGGGATAGGTAGGATAATCTTGATTTCCTGCATTGCGCGGTGATTTGAAGCTGACGAGTTGTTGCCCCTATAGGCTTCTGGCTCTAGAAATGGGGAAACCTGTCCTGATCAATGATCAAGACTGCGATGTTGACCTCCCCTGTCCTGTTGACGAGCAGTATATCTCAGATGGAGGGGTTGTGCCCGAAAGCCAGCAGACGACTCCCCTCCTCGCCACCATTCATGTCGTTCGATCAATCGGGCAACTTACTAGGACATTACGGTCCTCAACTATCAGCCCGGCCACGATAGACACATTTGAGCGACATTTCAACGCATGCCTTGCCACATTTCCCTCGCAGTATCATCCGAAATCCGACCAATATCTCGACCCTCGAGCGCTTGATCCCATCATTTACCTCCAAAATGCTCGCCTCATTCTTCACCGCCATAACATCAATCCGCTTTGTGTGCCCGACGTGCGTACCTCGGCCCTCGATTACTGCGTTTCCACGTCCCAGGATACCGCACGTCTACTTTCACGATGCATGCGCTATCCCTCTAGTCCCCATTCAGGATTTGGGGCCGCGGGAAATGAGGCTTGGCGGCCCTTGCTCGCCTCGTCCGCAGGGACCACCATGTGCACACACATCTGGCGTTGTGCACTCATTCTGCTTTTCCGGCAGGATTTCGTCACCGCTTTAGTGTGTGTCCAGGCAGCTGCCGCAGTTGGAGACTCGCGCGCGCTGAACGCGGCCTGTGGGCGATATATTGTTTTCTTCTTGAAGTGTCTTTTGGATCGATTACGCCACGGCGACGATCTCGACCGAGACGAGGAAATGCTGGCCTACGTCTCCGGAGACATGCAAGGCCACAGCGACGGCAGCTGGGTGTGGCAGGGCAGCGAGACCGGCACCCAGTTAGCGGCAATGTCTTCTAGCATCGGTAGCCCGGTCTCATTCGGGCAATCCGACCCGAGGGACAATATTTCCACCGACGACGCCGAGAATACTGAAGGTTGGGATTGGGCTGAGAAGACAATTCGGTTCCTACACGAGAAACAGCTCGATCAGCAAAAAGAGTATGAGAGAAGGGACGGCTCGTCGTTCCAGAATCCGCCCGAGTCCGCGTATCTCAGCCCCGAGGCTGCCGTCGGGAGAGATGAGGCATCGCCCCGACGCTCGAGCTCGTCTCATCGCATGAGAATTGCCAGCATAATATGATTTGGGACCCCAATATCATATCTTTAGTCCACGGCGATAAGAGTCCAGCAAACCGCCTTTCGTCGACAACCCAGCTTTTCGGTTCACCTTTCAACAGAATCGCGATGCAGCTCCGAGCAAAAATTTCCATACTCTTGACCATGACACCAGAAAAAGAGCCTGAAATGGAATGTACTTGTATTGGGGTCCAAGTCAAGTCATGAGCTTGGTAGACCACGGACCATGTGATACGATGTTATGCATTACGATCAATTTATTGATGATCAATCCAGTGTTTGATTATACCTACTTTACTATATATATTATTTACTGTATGTCAGTAATCAAGATAAGCGCTTTTTCATCTTGACCCTCCATTTACCAGTAAAAGCCAAACCAGAAATAGTAGTAATAGTCATTGACACATAAATTTCTTTAACTCTACCACCCATCCATCTGTCATATCTTCGCCTCGTAAATCCCTTCGTCGAGCTTTTATATCCAGCACTAGGAATAGGGCAAAATAGAACACCCTGGCTATCAGATCAGATCACGTAACTAATCTGCCTTGAAATCAATGCATTCATATTCTTCACTTTTTTTTTTACTATTTCCCTTCACTTCAAGTCTCCAAGTTAATACTGCGACCGAACCGCGCATACAGCGCCACCTTCAACTCCTGCAGCTCCTCGCGCAGATCACTCAACTTATCCTCGAGGCCGGATACCTCGGTGTCGATCTGCTCCGTGGAAGAGGAGAGCAAGGACTGCGCTTCTTCCAAGGGGAGTTGAAAGAACGAGTCGCCGATTTTGTACCTATATTAGGTTAGATTCTTGATTCTTTTCGATGCTTTCATTTTTCTGGGAGATATGTGCATAGACTGGCTAGGTGTTGGGGGCAGAGAGGAAGGTACTTACGGGACTAATTCATCCTCATCCGCCAGTTCCAATTCCGTCGAGACTTCCTCGAGATCTTCTTTGTCTTTCTGTGGGTGGGGATTAGCTGATATTCAGATATCTGCATACCCACCTCTCTCCCTCCCTCCCCATCCTTTCTTATCGGAAAAGATAGAGTGGGAATCTGAGGACTAAAGAGAAAGGCGGGGCCCGGGGGGGAGAAAGAACGAACCTGCTTCGCCTTCAACAAATCCTCCAGCACCGTCTCCCGTTGATGCAAGCGACTGAACCGATTGATCTTCTCCTGGTCCTCGCGACGGACTTCATTGTCGTCGCCGCCGCCGGCAGCGACTTCGTCTTCTTTGGAGAGCTGCCGTGGATTTTTAGCTTATGTCCTTCTTCATCTTTTTTCACCTTCTTCTCTTTTTACGTTCTGATAAAATGCAGAGGATAGAGGGCAAGGGTTAAGAGTGTGTACGTACCATGCGCGTCTGCATCATCTTGAAAGAGGTTGCTCTTTTGCTCTTCTGTTTGGTTTCTGATGGCCTTTTGGTGGGGTGGATTGAGGCACTTATTGGTTGCTGCCAGCCCGAGGGGTTAGTCAGCTAGGATGGTGTCACGTGGGTGTCACGGGGAGGTCGGAGGTGGTTTGGAGGGATTGGATCTTCCTTCGTCTTATGCTGGAAGGTCTTGGGATGAGTTTAGTGTGTCTAGTGGTTGTGAGAGGGTTATTTTCTGGGGTGATTGTTTTTACTGTGAGTATTTTGAGTTTATCGGTGAAGTATCCTCATGTCTAGATAAGTATATAAGTATATATTGGTGAAAGGCATTTGGTAGTAAATTTGACTTTATCTCCACTTCTTATTTCTTCTCATTTTTCTTTCTCTCTCACAATAATCCCAATGTGCTGATGAGTGGCTTTCGTCACTATATAGAACGACCCTAAACTTCTCAATCGACACCAAGGAGTACAGCAGGTCGGGTGACATCATCATCATCGCTCATCATCTGGTCGCTCCGAGCGAATCAACCTTCAAATATTGGCAGGAGAAAGCAGAGCCCCCAAGTGCTTCGAATAACTCCTCTTTTCCTTTCTAGAGGGATCGTTCATCAGACCTCGAGGCCACGGCACTCCACGCGGACTGTGTGTCCTTCCTAGAATATCTCTCGTGCCGTCATACTGGAAGTATTGGGCACACCAGACTGGAGAAGCCAGCGACGCCTCGGAGAAAACCAACATCCCGACCACCGCATCGAGCAGCTCGTCCATCATCTTCCATACCAGCCATTCCGCCCCAGTCTCGATTTCTCAGCTGCCTGGGCATTTCTCGACACAACACTCATCCTGACCCCAAACGACCCCGACCGTCCTCCTTGCGTCTGTCGAACCTCTCTACCCGTCGTTTCCCTCCTTTCCTCGGCCAGCGCCCGTTGCGAGCTCTTCACGGCCATCACCGCCGATCCGCCAACTTCGCGCAACGAAAATCACCCACCACCTCGGCCTCTTGTAACGAAGTACACGCCTACGCTTATACACTCCTCCACCATGCGGATATCTTCCGCCCTCTACTCCTCCGCCGCCCTCCTCTCCTCTGGCCTCGCCTCCGCCCGCGGCTTCGACTGCCACAATATCAATGTCAGCGGATATAAATATGACCTCAAGCCTCTGGGCGGAGTCCACACTCTATACCATGTCAACGAGACGGAATCCTACGTGGTCAACACCACGTATGTGATGAACATTTGCGGGATCTTGAAGGGCGCGGCGAACCGGGATGGGATGAAATGTGGTACTTCGAAGAATAGTACGTAACTGGACTCCTACTGCACTTTTCCTTATCTCTCTACCTGTATCTTCTACGCAGGCCAAGACGACGATCCAGGAAATTTTTGTTTTCACGTAAAAAACCTCAAGCTAATCACCGTTCCCCTCCAGTCTGCGGCTTCGAATACAAACACGCCCCCGACGGCTCCGAGTCCAAACACCCCTTCCCGATCGTCGGTCTCGACCCCGTTGGCCACGGCTCCAAAAACACGGAGATCACGCGCCTTAAGACCGACGACTCCGACCAGGAGGGTCTCCGCGTGAAGTTCTCCGGCGGTAGCTACGAGAACGAGGACGGCAAGAAGAAGAGCGCCGGCGCCGTTATCGAGTTTCAGTGCGATCCCGACCGGTCGGGATTAGAAGGGTTGACGCCCCAGGCGGACGACGGGCCCGAGAACGAGCGTCGCGACGGCGACGAGAATCGCCAGAGTCTGCAGTTCAAGAGCTTCGGGCTCGTTGATGATGATTCGTATGTGCTGCGACTGGACTGGCGGACTCGGTATGCGTGCGATAACTACGTCGATGAGAATAAGGGTGATTCGTCGAGTCATTGGGGTTTCTTTACTTGGTTGATTATTATGTGAGTTCCCACTCCCCCCTTTTTTGATCTAGCTCTGGTGGACCTCTCCCCTTGAGATTGAATTCCGAGTGAATTGAACAACGAATAACTGATTGATTCCTGAATAGTCTCTTCCTCTGCATCGCCGCCTACCTCATCTTCGGCTCGTGGCTGAACTACAACCGCTACGGAGCTCGCGGCTGGGATCTGCTCCCTCACGGCGACACCCTTCGCGACGTTCCCTATATCTTTCAGGACTGGTTTCGACGGGTGATTAACACGTTGCAAGGGTCTGGTTCTAGAGGAGGATACAGTGCGGTGTAGATTTTCTGTTTTCCACACCCTTTCTGCCTTCTTTTCTATATTTTTTTTTTTGACTCTTTTATGGCATTTTGCTCTTGGCTTGCTTTTTCATCTTTATTTTGACTTGCTATGTTATATTTTTTTTTGATGTGCGAATGTCATAAGGGCCAGATCTCTCTATGTCTCTCCGTCCTCCTAACTCCAAACCATATATTCTTTTGACTTTTGAAGGGAAAGGAAGGAATAGGCAGTTGCACGAGTCCCATCCGATAACTGGTGTTGATGTATCAGATAGGTTGGAATGGATACAGATACAGATTCTACCTTTCTCTTTCTCCCCTATAATTTCTTCAGTATCTATCTACATTGTATGAATGGAACCAATGGCTGCTGTACATAATTACACTTACCGACCTCAATGTATGACTGAATAATAAGAAGATAGAAGAGAGTGATTTTCCCGGAGTATACGAAGACCGTACGGTGATATATAGATGGATTACATACCTACCCAAGGATCTAGGAGTTCCGTTCCGTTCTTCACGATAGGATTTACTGTGTACTTACTGGGCATGTATACACTACGATAGTTAACCATGAAACCGATATGCTCATCAGTCATCGGGAAGATGATGGTTATGAGAGCAAAGATCTACAGCACGCAATCGACATATCTCAATCACGCAAGCTCCGATAAGAGAGGATCGATCGATCCCCCGTGCCGCAAAACCAATGAGACCGACTTCCGTGTAAAGCACGACATCAGAAACAAATCAGATAGACCTTACGGAGATAATATCGAGGAAATATGGGGTAAGAAACTGGGGCTAGTATTCGTTATGACAATCTCCCAACATGCCAAACCCATCAGATCATAACATAACATCGAGTAAGAAAAAGCATTGCCAAATGGCGTCATCACGGCTAAGATCTCATCATCAGGAGCGGTGAACCCGCAAAAATCAGAAAACAACTCGTAAAGTATAAAAAGGTATTCGTTTCCCTGGTCCCCACCTCCTGGTACATTCTGGGGCATTTGGATCTTCTTGGTGGGGGGTTGGGTGTTGCAATTCCCCTATCTCTTTCCTTCTGTCTCCCTTTTCCTTCTCTTTCATCCATCCCTTGAGTCGTCTTTCCTACTTACTTTCGTTCTTCCCCTTTCTCATCCCTTCGCTCCTTCGAGCCCCTAGTCCGCACAAGTCTACACCTTCATGGCAAATTGCTTCATGTACAAGTAATCTGCCATGTTGAGATCCACGGCTTTGCGGATCTGGGCGGCGCCTTCGGGGCCGTACTTCTTGGTCCATTCGGCGTCGAACTCTTCTTCTGTCTTGACGGCGCGGGCCTGACAGTTTGGTATGTTAGTTGACCCTGCTCTCTCCGTGCTTGACGTCTTTCCTTCCCCTATGGCCTTCCTGGCTTGACTTTCACGCTTTCCCTTCAGTGTTGAATGGAAAGGCAGAAAGAGAAGACAGGAAGGCCAGAAGGGGACGGGAAGGAGTGAAGACAACTTACATGCTTTCTGGCCACCAGACCTCCCGACTCAATTGCGTCGTTATGGAATCCTCTCCACTTCTCGAACGCCTCACTTACGAACCGATGATCGTCCTCGTTGTCCCAGTCCAGCATGCTGGGATCATAATCGATGCCGACGCTGCGACAGAACGCCTCCATCATCGGAGCGGGCTTATCCAGCATATCGTCGGCGTCGACGACACAGATCTCGGCACCGGATTCATGGCCTGCCCCGAGTCCGCCGACCACAGGCTTCAACTTCTTCGAGCTGCCGTCCAGCTCGTCGGCATCGTCCTCCCTCGTCGCGATGTGCGGACCGATTAGCCCCACGCTGCGCAGGTAGTCGAAGGTGCGTCGCACCTCGTCGTACCCGGCCTCGGCGGGGTCGTAATAATAAAAGCCCGTGACGTCGTCCAGCGGCGGGATGGTGCAGCGGTAATACGACGGCACGCTGTAGTGCGGGTCGCGGATGAGGAAGGCAAAATGAAACTGGGAGAGGATGGACAGAGGCATCACGGTGGGGTTACCAGGTTCCGGGAGGGTATCGTACGGGAGCTCCGAGGCAGTCTGCTTTGACTGCTGCTCATGTGTCCCATTTGCGACCGCCTCTTCCTGGTGGCCATTCGGCTGCTTTTCCGCACCGTTGGTGACCCCGTCGGGGTGGTGGTCGGAGGATTCATGAACGACGCCATTGCCGTTCATGCCCCCGACCGAGGCGTTGTCTACGGACACAGAGTTTCCCGTCCCGACGCCACGCTTGATTCTGTTCAGGGATGGCGCGATGCTGGCAGGCTTCCCACTGGGAGGAAGAAGATAGTGGATGATGTCTTTGATGAAGATTCTCTTGCCCTGCGAGTGGAGGTAAGTATTTTACTCGGACAAGAACGATTGACGAGAGAATAAGGGAAAGATAAGGCGGTGGAAAAGGTAAAGTAGGGTATGTCCGGGCGGACGATCGTTCAAGATCCGTCATCATCATCTGTGTGCCCTTGGTAGGTAGACATGGGTAGGGAAGTAAGATCCCATCCCGCATATGGGGATTCCCGTAGACTCATAATCCGTGAGAAAATCGGAGGAAAAATGAAATGCAGGTGCTCGAGAGATCATTTTCATCTCGTTTCGTATCATCTAGCAATATGACTTGGAGAACTCCCATTTTAGTCCCTGCCACTTCCGATCCCTCAAATTGAATCGTTCGACAGAATCGGATCATGACAAGGGAAGTAAGGGAAGAGCAATTTTACGAGCCAAAAAGGGTTCTTCCAAGTCAGGGTTCTCGTAACGCGGGCAGAACTTAAAAAAGATCATGAAAAAAATAGGAAGAGAGATCGGACCTCGGAACCTTCACGCTCGATTCTCTCCATAACAGACCGATACGTGGACTGGCTGAAGCCACTCTCCAGACGAGCCTGTTCGTCGTTGGCAAATCTGGTGCCCAATCTCTCGGGACCATAGTAGAAGGCATCGCCAAATGGCTCGTGGATACACTGGATGGTATCCCGACGAGTCATAAAGACCTTAAGTGATAGGCGAAGGATGAATTAGCATATATTGCTTGGCCTTGGAAGGTCTAGAATTTTTTTTTCTTTCTTTGTCGATCAATGATGATGAACTCACTCGTTCGAAAGCCGTCGAGCAGGCTCGGGGGTGAGTCGCCACGAAGATGGGTTTCTGAGACATGTTGATTGGATTTACTTTCAATTATCCAACAACTTTTTCTCGTCTCTGGTAGATATTCCCCTTTTTAAGGAGGGGTATACTATGGTCTTGAATGACAAGCCGATAGATGGGAAAAATCCGGAACCAGTTTGCTAACTACCAGGGAGTTTCACCACCGGCGCAGCTTACTGTGACGAAGATCAATACAATTGACTCACTCTACTGTGCGTCGACAGTATCGTGAGGAAAGAGGATAAAAACCTGTCGACTTGAGTCCGGGGAGCAAGTCGGGAGGATGTAAGAAGAGGGGTTTGAAAAAAATAAAAATTCAAATCGATCAAGGAAGGGGCAAAGAGGAAAAAAAAGTGGGTTTTATAGGAAGGAAGTTGGGAACCGAGGAGGAGCAATGAGAAGCAAAGTGTGTGGATGTGAGAGGGTGCAGTTGGAGGGTTGGAGAGTTGGAGGGGCGCGATGGCGATACAAGAAAAATCAATTATGGATTAATTCTGCAGATTAATGGACGTTCCTTTTTGGTTGCTTTTTTGCTCTCTCATGAGGTATTTATCTCGAGATATTTTATTGTGTTACATTTTTTCCCTCTCTCTCTTTGATTTTTAATTTGTTAGCTGTTCTATTCTACCTGGTCTACATCTGCAAGTCTTCTCTCGATCGATCAATGAGATGAGAAGCCAAGGCAGACTATTCCATGCCATGATCATAATTGATCCCAGAGAAGTAGGTCCTGCGAGGCAGGTCGCCTCTCTCTCCCCATACTCAGCAACCATGAATATTTCTCTTCATGCGATGCTGCATAGGTAGATCCGGTGAATGAAATGCGAGCACGCCATCGAACAACTAATTAACTCCTCGACTAGACCACGATTGTCGTGGTCTATACGGAGTCAAATAATAATAACCGTCGTGTCTGTCCTGTGTCTAGAGACGCCGGACTTCACTAGACCACGCACGATGTCCACGGCAGACGCAGCGGTTGCCTCGTCTTTTCCTCTTCAAGGCATCCGCACCGGAAATAACAAAGCCCACGATGGAACTAAGGAACAATCGACTGTCTGGGGTGGAGGGGCACGGAAACTCCAAAATAGCATCCGCAGTCGTTGCCAATTCCAACGATTATTGCTGAATACTGATGCTCCGACAGTGGCACCGGGTGGGTAAAGGATAAGATCTACATGGGAGAATAAGCCCATTCTCCCCTCTGACTTGCTCAGGGCTCGAACATCCAATCCTTCCGAGTCTGTTTCGGGCTTATTCCGGGTCCTGAGTGGCCACGGAGAGGGCCTGGACTATGGCCCCAAGTGGATTCCAGTTCCTGAGCCATGGCCGCCTTTTTTTCGTTATGCGTCCAGCAATTAAAATAAAGTGGGTAACTGAACGGCCTACGGAGCTGTTCAGCAGCCCCGGCAAAGAAGACACCAGAGAGCTGGGGGGTTTGCCCGCCGGAGTTAGCCCAGACTGAGAAACTGCAAGGCTGCAAGTTGACTGAATTGCTTGGAAGGACCGTCCAAAACTTCCCTGCTACAAGGAATCCCTAAGCCATAGGAACCAGGGTAAAATGGGCAGCGTTCCCACTCTTGACGTCACGCACGGGCTGGAGGGGAATGGGATGACATTTGACCTGGGACTTGGTCGAATCGAATCCCAGAGGAGGATCCAGAAGTCAAAAAGGGAGGGGAGGGGGGAGGACTGGAGAGCAGGAAGAAAAGAACGAAAAGGAACGGTGTCGTCCGTCGAATCAGCAACGGCTCAGATCCGATAGATCATTTGGCATGGAACGCTGGGCGAGATCTCATCGTCCCGAGGTTGGACGGAGGAGAGTTCTCGCGGAATGATGGTCATTATCATTTGCTATTTGTTATTATCGCATGGATGGGTCATCGACTTTTTTGATTTTTTTTTCTTTCCTCCGGGCCCTCTGCTTCTGCTAGTCACTTTTTAGTTGGCAATTTAGTCCTCGAGCTTGCCGGCCGATAGACCATCGTGAGACATTTAATGCCAATCAATGTAGATGATCCTCAACGTGGGGGCGTGGCGGACTCGTATCAGGTTGACCACGGCCTGCCATTTGGTTTCGCATTCGGACGATGTGGGATACCTGATGTGGCGTTGATCCGTGATTTTGATCTGGGTCCATCGTGATTCTGTAGAAGTGAGACTGAGAGTATTTCGGATCATTGCATTCTTTATGTGCACAAGGGTGAATTATGTCAGCAAGAGTCGAGCAATAAGGTTTCAGGCATTAAGGCACCAAGGCATGAGGGTCACATGTCGATCAGGCAGCAGGGCATACAGGCATCAAGGCACTAAGATACCCCAACAGCGGTCCAAGTCATGTGACATCCAGTGATATCCATAATCCCGCCTCACTGGGAACTGCCAGAGAAATGCCGCCGTTTATGGGGCCATCCCGAATCCCGAATCCCGACAGCATCTCAAAGGATTGAGACCGGCCTGTCCAGACCTCATTGCCAACTGCCATATTCCCCGTCAACCGACCTTCGTCCGAGGGATCGCCTGTCATGTTCCCACATAGCCTGACGACGTCACCCCACGTGACCGTATCACGGGAAACCTCCAGATGCTTCTGGAAGGCGGTGGAAGGGACTCGTGTCGTCATGGCGCACCGAGGGACTTCTCGATGCCCAACTAGCCGTTATATAAACTCGGCTCACGCTCGTTCTGGCTTCATCAGCATTGCAGCTTGGAGATTAACAATCAGAGCATCAGAACCTTATCGAGACCTCTACAGGTAACCACACTAAACACCTTACTCCTCACCTCGTTACCTCCGATTCTTTCATCTACATCTACCTCGACTCGACTCTGTTTTTCTCTCTGTCCCACCATGAACGGGGCTTCGTTCACAGACCGGGCCAACAAGGCCTTGCTGGACTCCAGCAACCTCGCTGAACAATATTCTCACCTCCAAATCATCCCCCTTCATCTGGCAGTCGCCCTCCTCAATCCTTCTCTAGATGAGTCGAAAGACCAAGAAGCTCCCTCCCACTCCTCCCACGATTCTGCCTCTGCCCCTCTTTTCCGCCAGGTCGTCGAGCGCGCCCATGGCGACCCACAGCTGTTGGACCGCGCGCTCATGAAGCTGCTGGTCCGTCTACCCAGCCAAGATCCTCCGCCAGAGACCGTCGCCATCTCTCCCGCTCTCGCCAAAGTTATCCGCTCCGCCACCGACCTGTCCAAGACCCAGAAGGACAGCTTCGTGGCAATTGACCACTTGATCCTCTCACTTGCTCAAGATTCGCAGGTCCAGCGGGCTCTGGCCGACGCTAACATCCCCAACGTCAAATTGATCGATACCGCCGTGCAGCAGATCCGCGGGTCCAAGCGTGTGGACTCCAAGACGGCGGATTCGGAGAGCGAAAATGAAAACCTCAAGAAATTCACGATCGACATGACCTCCATGGCCCGCGAGGGTAAGATCGACCCCGTCATCGGCCGTGAGGAAGAGATCCGTCGTGTGATTCGCATCCTGAGTCGGCGAACGAAGAACAACCCCGTGCTCATCGGTGAGCCCGGTGTTGGTAAGACCACGGTCGTGGAGGGATTGGCTCGTCGCATTGTCAACGCTGATGTGCCCGCCAACCTGGCCCATTGCCGACTGCTCTCTCTCGATGTCGGATCTCTGGTTGCCGGAAGTAAATACCGTGGTGAATTCGAAGAAAGAATGAAGGGTGTTCTCAAGGAAATCGAAGAGTCTAAAGAGACCATCGTCCTGTTTGTCGATGAGATCCACCTTCTCATGGGTGCCGGCTCCAGCGGCGAGGGAGGCATGGACGCCGCCAACCTCCTCAAGCCTATGCTTGCCCGAGGTCAGCTGCACTGCATTGGTGCGACTACCCTGGGCGAATACCGCAAGTACATCGAAAAAGATCAGGCCTTCGAACGACGTTTCCAGCAGGTGCTGGTCAAGGAACCCTCGGTCAACGAGACTGTTTCCATCCTCCGTGGGTTGAAGGAGAAGTACGAAGTGCACCACAACGTTAACATCCTTGATGGCGCAATCGTTTCGGCAGCAACGCTCGCAGCACGATACTTGACGGCTCGTCGTCTTCCCGACTCGGCTGTCGACCTAATTGACGAGGCAGCAGCTGCTGTGCGAGTGACCCGGGAGTCTGAGCCAGAGGCATTGGATAATCTGGAGAGAAAGCATCGTCAACTTCAAATTGAAATCCATGCCCTCGAGCGTGAAACCGACGAAGCATCCAAGACCCGTTTGGAGGCTGCCAAGCAAGAAGCGGCCAACGTGACGGAGGAGCTGCGCCCCATGCGCGAGAAGTACGAAAGCGAGAAGGCGCGCAGCAAGTCGATCCAGGACGCTAAGATCAAGCTCGACTCTCTCAAGGTCAAGAGAGATGAAGCGGAACGTATGGGTGACACTCAGACGGCAGCCGATTTGGAATACTACGCCATTCCGGAGACCAAGACTCTCATCGAGAGACTCGAAGCTGATCGGGCACGCGCCGATGCCGAGCAGCGCGCTCGTGGCGGTGACGCCGGTGAAGCTCTCCTTGCCGATTCGGTCGGTCCCGACCAGATCAACGAAATCGTCGCTCGATGGACCGGAATTCCCGTCACTCGGCTGAAGACCACCGAGAAGGACAAGCTGTTGCAGATGGAGAAATACCTGGGCAAGCTGGTCGTCGGTCAGAAGGAAGCGGTGGCCTCGGTGTCGAACGCCATCCGACTCCAGCGATCCGGTCTCAGCAACCCCAACTCTCCTCCAAGCTTCCTCTTCTGCGGTCCATCGGGAACAGGTAAGACCTTGCTCACCAAGGCTCTGGCCGAATTCCTCTTTGACGACCCTCGGGCCATGATCCGATTCGACATGTCTGAATACCAGGAGCGGCACTCCCTCAGCCGAATGATCGGTGCACCTCCCGGCTACGTCGGCCACGACGCTGGCGGTCAACTCACTGAGAGTCTTCGCCGCCGCCCATTCTCCATCCTCTTGTTCGACGAAGTCGAAAAGGCCGCCAAGGAAGTTCTCACCGTCCTCCTTCAGCTCATGGATGACGGCCGTATCACCGACGGCCAAGGCAGAATCGTCGACGCCCGCAACTGTATTGTGGTTATGACCTCCAACCTGGGTGCCGAGTACCTCTCTCGACCCACCGCGAAGGACGGTCGCATTGATCCTCAGACCCGCGAGCTCGTGCTGGGCGCTCTGCGCGACTACTTCCTGCCCGAATTCCTGAACCGAATCTCCAGCACCGTGATCTTCAACCGTCTCACGCGGCGCGAGATCCGCAAGATCGTCGACCTCCGTCTGGACGAAGTCCAGCGCCGTCTCGATGACAACGACCGCAGAGTCACCATCGAATGCACCGACGAAGTCAAAGACTATCTTGGCGAAGCCGGTTACTCTCCCGCATACGGCGCCCGTCCCTTGGGTCGCATCATCGAGCGCGAGGTCCTCAACCGCTTGGCTGTGCTTATCCTGCGCGGCAGCATCCTGGACAACGAAGTTGCTCGCGTGGTTATGCGCGACGGACGCATCGACGTTCTTCCGAACCACAAGATCCCCGTCGACGAGGACCAGGATATGTTCGATGAAGACGATGCCATGGCGGAAATGGATGACGAAAATGGAGACATGGATCTCTATGACTAAATGCATCGTCTTCCCTAATCGTCTTGAGAAATTAAAAGAAAGCACATATTGTGACAATATTGCATCAGGAAACAACAAACAAAAAACATACACAAAAAGCATGTGGAACTTTGTGTGAAATACGGGGTGATGAGAAAACATGATCACGACGATATGATACATTGGCGTTTTTCCTTTCCTTTCCTTGCTTTCTTCTTTTATCTTTAATTTCTTTGGTATCCCTTGTTTTAATTCAAGGTGCATTTGCATTTCTTCTTGTTACCACTTCTACTTAGCATGTATAGTTCTGATATGTATATGAACATAAGATGCATAATTTATTGAACTTAAATATTCCAATTCTTTGCTCTTCCTTTCTTTTCTTGTCCTTAGAGGGCTTCGTAGATATACTATAGTAATCAGAACCTCGTGGACACAGACATATCACTGGCCACCTACTACAGTCTACCTGTGGCTATTGTTCGAACAACCATACTGCCACGCTGCAATTACACTTCAAGAACATTCTGTTGCACGGGTTAAAAGATACAAGTCATACTCATCTCAACCATCCTCAAGAAAGCCAACCAACACGATTTCCCTAACCTACCACACCACCCTAGACTTCCCTCTCCTTCCCCTCCTCCCTCTCCCTCCACCACCTCGCCACCTCCCCGGTTTGACAAAACTCTACCTCATCACCCCAACCCCGACACCAGCCCAGAAACCGCTCCACCATACCAATCACATGCGCCATGCCGCTCGTATCCGGATGCATCAGCACCGGGAAAATAGGCTCGTCTTCGTTCTCCCGCAGCCACAGGAACCGGTCTTTCCAGAGGTTCTCGATCACTCGGACGTCCGTGTAGCCGTGCGAGTTTGGGGCGTGAGGCAGGAACTGGAGCGGGGTCATGTCTTCCATGTACCAGTTGCAGGGGACGCAGGTTAGGGGGCGTCGGTCTATGCGGGACGCGCTGGGGATGGGCTTCATCCAGGTTGAGGCGGGGAGGGTGAAGTTGGGTGCGGTGAGGGGGGGTCGCGATGGGGCGTAGAAGGGTTGGCTGTCGTGGTCGGTTAGGGAGGCGTCTTTTTTTCATTAACATAAGCGCATGGACGTGATAGGTTAGTGTTGGGTTGATATGAGTGATGGATAGGGCTTGGGGGAGGTTTGGGGAGGGAGGAGGGATGGTGGACGCACCGTATTCGAATCCGAATTCTTCAAGCAGGTCGAGAGTCGACTCTCGGAGTTGATATAATGGTGCTCGATGCCCGATGGGTTTCTTGCCGGTCAAGTTTGTTGCGATCTCAATGCATCGGACGAGTACGTCGCGTTCCTGTTCCGGGGTGAGCTGGTATGCGCCTTCGTGGGCGTATCCGTGTAGTCCGATCTCGCAGCCCGAGTCGACGACCTGGTTGACTTCCTCCGGGAAGCTCTCTACCGAGTGGCCGGGGATGAACCAGGTACAGCGGTCGGCGAGGTTAAGTTTCTTGAGCATGCGGAGGAGACGAGGGGCGCCGACCCGGGCGGCGAAGAAGCCGGATGAGTAGTCGGCAAGGATGTTATCGGAGTGTTGGCCTTATCGAGATAGTTAGTAGAGCACGGCGAGGAGGGCCTAGATGGTATACTGTACCTGTTCCTAACCAGCCAGAGACAGCGTCAAAGTCGATTGAGATGGTGATGCGGATCTTGTTTTGCTTGGGCCTGGTGATAGACTGTGGGATAGTTCGAGCGATATCAACATCTGCTTGGGATGGAGTGTTCTTGGGTTGTTGATTAACTTCGCTTTCCTTCCAGATCAAACGGCCCTCCATGCCTCCATCAACACTAAGACATTGTCCGGATATATGGCCCGCCGCACGATGGGAGGCCAGGAACACCATCGTCCTCGCCACATCCTCTGGCTTCGCAATTTTCTTCAACGGCACTCTAATTTCCTCATCAGCAAACACCACAGATTCCAAAGCTCACCTAATCTGGCGCTCGGAGGTAAATAAGGCAGGGAAAATGCACTTACGTAGCCTGAGCTTCCCTCCACAATTCCGTCGGATCATCCAACCTTCCCTCGATCATCCGCGTATCCACCCACCCCGGCGCAACGGCATTGATCCTCGCCTTACTGTTCAACCTCACGATCTCATTCTTGATACTGCGCACCAGCCCATACTGCAGCCCGGCCTTCCCGGACGCATACTCCGCATGACCCTCTTGTCCGAACTTACCCGTTTCGCTACCCGTCACCACAATGGCTAGATTGTCTAACTCTGTTCCCAACGCCTGTTGCGTTGTCTGAGCAGTTCTCAGGAAATGCTTGATGGTGAGGAATGTGCCGCGGACGTTGACGTGGTATGTCTGTTCCCAGGTGTTCAGAGGCAGGTCCCAGATGGGATAGTCTCTGCTCTCGTCGGTGATGCCGGCGTTGGCGATGAGGATGTTGATGGGTCCTTGTTGTTTGACGGCTTGAGTGAAGCTGGAGGCGATGGACTCTTCGTCTGAGATGTCGCCTGCTAGAATGGATAGTTGATCGCTCTTTTTCGCGAGGTCGCGAAAGTCTAGGGGCTTGATGTCAAGTGTCGTCACTTTGCATTCTTGGTCTGTGGAGATGGGTTAGTAAGTAGGTTTGGCAGCATCGATGTGGAATAAGATATGGATATGCGCTCTTGACAAAATGGAAGAAGTATCAATCCAGACGTATGGCTCATAACACAGGTTAAGGCAGGATAGAAAATGTCCAAGACATATTAAGCATCAGTGACCACTGAAATAACATTGATTAGGGGGAATATCTTGAACCGAATGTCAAGGGTCATGGCTTCCCAAAAGGATAAAAGAATGATGTGCAATGAATCAATACATCCAAATCCACCGCTGAACAACCTACCAAGGAATTCCCGCACTGCCTGCCGCCCAATGCCCCCTGCAGCACCAGTGACGAAGACATGAAGTCCTTCCAGGCCTAAAAAGGAGGCGGAAGTAGAGGACGCTGTCATTTTAGTTACTGGACTCAAATAAGTCCGAAGCAGGATAGAGGGATTGATGGAATGACGGAAGGAGATGGATGCGATGAGGGGAAGAAGAGATGGATCGACTAGTGACCAATCGGGAATTTCGGCGGATTGACCGATGGCAGGCAAACCCAGACTATAGATTCACAAAGTTATGTGCGAGATAGAAGACAATGGTTTCAGTTTATCTACGATTGTTGATGTCAGAGTTTAAGCTGCAAGATGATCGCAGATGGATTCTGTATTGCTACGCGTGGTCTGAATCTACAGAACCTATACTTGCAATGTAAAAGTAAATATAATTCTCTCTGTCTTGAGTTTGACGAGGTTCAGTTAAGATAAAAATATACATATATATAAACCAAGATCCCCTGGATCAGAACCTCCTGGATGGGTGTCAATCATCCGGCTGTGAGTGAATTGTGTTTGAATCTTTAACACTTCAATATGACGACATGATCATAAGCATTGATAACTGCGCTAATCCTTTTCTTTTTCTCTTTAGTTGAAGGGTATATTGCTTCATGATAGCGTAACTGACAAACACAATCATGAAGCCAATTCTTGCCAGGATGCCAGGACACCCCATAGAAGACGAGATCGAACGTCTTTCATGATTCCATGACATAACTGTACTCATAAATGAAATGATATATAATATAACCGTATATTCAACACTAAAAGTAGTTCTAGAATTCTCTCTTTAGGCCAGCTCAACAGTTGACAGAGGAATACGACCCCAGTGTCAACGCTCACAGAATGAGAGACTGGACGTTATCATCAGCAAAATATAGTATTCAGCTCATCTTCTCTTTCCTGAAACGAGGGGAAAAGGCCATCCTGCCACGACTTCCATATCCCCAGTACATACCAAGCCCCTTACTCAAGCCCATAGGTCCCCTAAGACAGCAACCTCGCCACCACCGAAACCAAACTATCTCCATACCTCTTCTTCCGGCCGAAAACAACACCGGAGATCAACCACACGGAACACACCTACAAGCCACGCTCCAGCTGAAGTGAAACTAGTCGAGTATGCTCCGTAAAGCAGCCAGCCTTGCTCCTGGATATCATCCTCATCCACTTGGATATTTCCCGGACCTGACTTGCCATCTACTCTCATTCTGAGAGAGGCGTAAGGAGCACGGAGGATTTTAATGAATGAGTAATCGGCTCTTTCTACTCCGTAGGTGGATCTAATATAGCCAGATGGGTAATTAATATTATAGCTTGGCTCTGGGGCGTGGACACGTGGACTTGTGGACTCGTGGGTTCTATCTGAGTTTCGTACGGAGTATATTAAAGGATTAAATGAATACATGGAGAATGAATGAACGAAGAGATGTTCCGTGTCCGTGTCTCCTAATCCCTGAACAGCAAAAAGAACAATAGACCACGGCCCCCAATCAACACAACAAACCATCTAAAGCCATCCAGCCACCTGAAAATATGGAACACTAGTCGATGGTCGACGGGAGATATAGATATCCCAAGTGCACGGTTTACATACTCGAAATAGTAAACAACAAAACACCATCGCGGTCTGAGCCATGTCAGTGGCCAAGGCGCGCCCGGCTCTCCGTACGAATCTAGAATTCAGTATCTAAAGCGTATCGATAGTACCTCGTACAAGAAAAGGATATCCATAATGATAATATACGGTGAACTTAAAACGGAGCCTATGGAGTCGCAAAGACGGAGGATGGCCGTTGGAGGATCAGCCGGCTCGCAAAACAAAGTTTAGCGGACTTCAGTGTGTCTCGGAGGGATGACTATCTAGAGTCTGGGGGGCTTGATTTGGGTACAATAGTAACAGCTAGCAGTGAATACAGCCACACTATTGTTTCGTTTTCGTGGTAGAGAAATATTGTTCTTTGTCTAATGCAGGGGAGTAGAGAGGCTCTGTTTAGGATCTGATGTTGGTTGGGGGCCATCTCGGACGAACAGGGAAAATCTCATCTTTAGGGCGATATGTGTGGTCTATGCAGGTGTTCGGTTAATCGGTTTATCCGAAGGAATTTGTTTTTGCTCAATAGGAGTTTTCTGGGTGTGGTATGTTGATGACTTTGTGATTGAATGCATTCAGAATGACATAGTATCTCAACTCAAGTAGTAGATATGTTTTATTTTCTCTCAATAATAATGATCACTGGAACTCATCATCGAGCACACGTCTCAACAAGATGGGATTCCTACAAAACACATACCGGCAATTATCTGCCTACCTGACCTTGGAAGATCTTCCAGAACAACCAGAAGTTGATGTGCATAGTGTATACCAAACCCATGAACTAATGATCAACAGCCCATCTTGGAGACAAGCCCCAACACACCACAGATTGGAGTAAACTCAAAAACCGCCTTGCATGAACCATGGGAACACATCGTCAAAGATACGCGCTTCTGTATGTGTATGAGGGAACTTCGCACGTTCACTGTACTGCGGAGTATGCATCCATCCCCGTAAAGGGGAAATGATAAACGCCCATCTTGGTGAGGGACTTTTTTAACCTTCGACTATGCATGCACTGTGAAAATTTATGCACTCCACCCAACCATTGCTGACATGGGTTAACCGTGGAAATGAAATTCAAACTCCAATAGTTTAAACGGGCGGAGGCAAACTCTCGATGCTCGCAAGCTGACACCGAAAGTCAATAAGATAAGCCAGTGTGCCTTGCTAGGCGAGTCCGACGAAAAGAGAAACCTTGACGAAGGATTTGAAACTTTGATAATAAAGATAGACCTTTTCCAATCTATCCAGAATGGGCTAGTGCTTGTCAGCTGTATCGAGAATTATATCGGAATTCCAGAACAGAGACATAATATATCTTAGTGCACTCCGTATGGTATGGGTCAACTTGATGCTAGGATGTAATAAAAAATAATTCCATTGTGTTTCGTAACACGAGTTGATGATGATCCCCGCCGGCGAGGAATCTATCTCATGTATCGTGTACTGAGTAGTCTGTGGTAGGAATGCTGCACATCCTCCCCACCTATGCATCACAGAAAAGGGGTCATCACTGGGGAGATGTAGATCTCCGGGGTTGTCGGCTAAACGAGCGAGTTGTGTGCTTGGAGGGTACGTGCCGGTAGGTTTTCTTCCCCTCGTGGCCACCAGCCCAGATTACCACGGGCCTCATCCGTGGGAAGGCTGATAATGTTCAGCACTGGGCCCCTGGTTGTGCTCGAATGGCGTAGCTGACACCATGATCTTTCCCAAATACAGCATTTGGCGGTGGGGATGGCGCGGTGGATTACCATGGACCGGAAAGGAATAGTCTCATGGGTCTTGCCATCCGTCAAGGTTTGCCCCATACGGTGAACTTGTGGGCTGCCGGGTGCGACCAATCTTAGATGTTAAGGTGATTTGGAAATCGGAAGCGAGAGGCCAGACTGTACAAAGAGTGTTCTGGGTTGTCAGGCAGACTATTGATTTTTTAAAACTTATTCCGACATATAGATCTTGTGGTGCGGTATAGATGTTATCGAACGCGCATTGTTTCAGGTGAAGTCTGTTCGCATCAACAGCAGACATCGCTGTTCCTGAATCCGATGCATGCCCGGGGGTCTCTGGCTTGATCTTGGGACCCGGATTGTCGGGGCTTCCCAGGGATGCAGCCAGCCAGAGGCAAATTGTGAGCTGAGGGCCGGGGAATAAAGTTCAGGTGCAAATAGGCAGTGTCGGAATGGTGGCCCTTTCCGAGGAATGTGGCCCTGACGCCTGCATCTGCTGGAATCATTTTCAATTTTGAGGCGGTCCTGTCCAAATGGAATAGCTGGATGATGAGTATTCATACCGGAGCTTCCATCCATACGATTTGCACCCCGCTGGAATGTTAGAGACGACCCAGAAAACAGAGACCGCGCTAAAAGCGGCGGGTAAAGGTCGGGCGCGCGACGTTGACGCAACCAAGAAAAAAAAATAATTTAAAACGAAAAAAAAAAAGTTCGGAGCCGGGAGATCTGCATCGTGTATTGTAACGCCGTAACCAGATGGTAACGAAGAGTCCGTCCGGACAAATTCAACCCGAGTTGATCTTCAAACCGAAGTTTTATATTAACTGCTCGTGGAAGATTCTTGGAACGGCAGCGAAGGATTCGTGATTGGTTTCAGTGCTGTTTATTCCAGACCGTGGGAAATAGCACCCATGGGCCGCTGGACTGAATCCTTCAGGCGATGGTACAGCGAATCGATAATTTCACGCTCAACCAGATTGGACTGCCAGGACCGGGGCTGGTCCACTTTGTGCCGATCACCTCCGTATTGATGTTTTTCAAGGACATTGTTCCATAGAGTCGTAATATTAGCAGATACATGGTGTCTATCGGATATCAAAAATCAGATCGCCTCACAAAGCCCAGAAACAAAGAAGAGCAAGGATATGTACAGGATATAAAGGATGGCAGTAGGCTAGTTTCAACAAAAGAAAAGATCGCACAAAAGAAAGACCGCAAAATGTAGACGCCGACTAGACTGTTTCAAGGCTGCGCATGACGCTCATGCGTATGATGTAGAGCATCATCCCTCACATGCCCGAAATCCCAATCTTCAGGCTGCCGCGTTTCGCGCTCCACCGTCACCGTCACGTCCTGTCGAATTCTTAGGGCTCGGTCGGAACCATCGTCACTGATGTTGCGATCGTCGGCCGCCTCCGTACTGACATCTGACACGGCTTTCTGCGGCGCATCGACGGTACTTCGGTTGAAGCTTTGCATATTGAAATCTCCAGAGCGGAGGTGACTCGGAGGTCCGTAATGCCGATTTCCGGATGTTTTGCTGGTCCAAGGTCCAGAGCGATACCGGTCTGTTCCGCGTTTCGATCCGCCGGTCCAACTTTTGAGGGCGGGAAAAACATCGCGTAGGAGGGACCAAATCAGCGGGAGATTGGTAACTAACACGGCCACCGTGACTTCGCGGAAGTACCAATTCATGTAGACATAGGAAATCAAAGCGGGCACGAGACAGTAGACCTTATTCAAGATGGCCGCAACGATAACGAAGATACCCATGCCGAAGATGACAACAAGGATCAACTTCTGTTTGAGGGGCACTCGGACTTGAAGGAGGAGAGGTAGACCAATGAGGAGCATGAAAACGTCGGCAGAGATGGAAATGCATCCTTGAATGATCTCGTAGTATTGGTAGGTTGAGCACTGCTCGTTGGGCGTGGGAACAGCCCAATAGTTCGATAAAGGGCGACAAATGAGAAATAGCGAGAGTTCAACTGCAACGAATCCTAGCGCGATGTATATGGCAAGGTAATTGACCCATTTCCGTTGTCGCAAACCTTCGCTATGGATGGTATGAGCTTCGTACAGCATGGGAACTGGGAGGTGATTCCATACGTGAGACGGGCATATATCACCAGCATGCAGGCCTTCATTGCCCAGATTGCTAGAATGAATGCATGCTCAGACACATAAACCCATTTACTCCCTCGCTCCCGCTCAGCCTTTATAGCAGGAGTCAGATCCTGGATATCCTTCTCGTCCATCAGGTTCGACCCTCCACCGGAGGCGACTTGGTTCAAGGCGACGCATAGTATAGTGTACCAGATAACGGCAAAGACCATCAGGTAGTCATCTATTTGGAGATTCGTGATCCCCAATCGACGTATTCGTGCCACACTGCAAAGTATCGCAATCGTCAGCATCAACCAAATTGGAAGGACGAAACCAAGGCCGTAACTTACAATCGTAGCAGGACGCCCAACATGCCCACGGCGTAGAGAGTCCACGTCTCCTTCGCAAAGTCCCGTCCATATTGCGGACCCAGAATTGTCATGTTGCCGTTTCTCAACCTATGAAGCCGGGAAGGAGGGGGTTAGTATGGCATGCACGCAAGGAGGCTACAAACCGGGAACCAAAGGGAAGCCACCGAATATAAGGCGGATGCACGTACATCTTAAAGGTGATAAGGTTTGGGGATTCGACGCATTTGCCAGGGGAAAGCGCCGCGGCCAGCCTTAGGATCAATCAGCGGCCGGCGTCCGAGCTGGGATGTGATTGATTGCAGCTGTTGATGGGGGAGAAGGCCAGCGAGCCAGATAATCCAGGTCCCATCCCGTCGGGCCGGACAAATTACAGCGAGCCTGCGATCGAAATGAAGCACCAAGGCCAGGCGAGGGAAAGGTGCATCAGCTAGGGCGACCCGTGGCTCAGGGCCTCAATCGGCCGCACTGCGGGACCACCCATCTTGATTTCATCATCCCACACTGCTACCACAATAGGTATAATAATTGGGGTCGCCCTACCCTCCCGGCAATTTGATTGACGGGTGCTGGATGGAGGGACCCAGACACCATGCGGCCAACCAGCAAGCAGTAGGCGAGGTATCCCATTTGAGTAAGAGGTGAGTACCCAAGCTGGGTATGGGTCGCTCTTCATCATGTTACGACGCCTCAAGCCACAGACAGACATAATTATTATGGACTGGAGCTCAATCTATTTGTTTGCTCAAGGCTGTCGGAGTGGGACGAGGTGCAATACAACCTGGAACTCGTCTGGTATTGCCCAATACGGGACGGTGTACGTTCCCGGTGGGTCCTGCCATATTAGTCCCGAGTTAATGTCCATCCGACCTAGTCCCTCTCGGGTTAGTGACAAACCTAATGTCCCCCTCCTTTCAGCCAGGGCATGCAGTACGTAGGATGCCTCAGTGGCCTCGCAGGTCAGAGCGAACACCGTTATCTATCGCCAGTGAATCACATCGAAGCCCTGGATGCAAAGCAAATCGATCTACTATCCTCACTCTCACCCTGTCAGCACTCAATAGCCAACTACCCTGGCTGTGCTGCTCTCCCGTGGAGGCGTGCAGAATCATTATCCCCTCTAAAGATATCGTCGGCCGACAGCGGCCTCTCCTTGGCAGCGTCTCTCACCATGGAACACAATCCATAAATAAATAGACGGGATAGACGGAGTCATGAGATGCTCTTCCGTCCCCAGTCGAGCCAAGGGTCGAGAGCGCTGGCGTAACTTACAGCGTGTACATCTTCGTTCGTGATTGATTTGTATTGCAGGTGGGGCAGGGAAACATCGTGCTTTCTGCGGTGTAACCTGGCAGGGTGAACACTCCGCTGGATTGGGCCTAGGATCGGACTCGATCTGGCCGGCGCAGTCTGGAGGTTTATCCCGTCTTGCTAGCATGGCATAAATATCGGAATCGGGCCCTTGACTATGCATGCTCTCTCAGCATGCTTGTGCACTCAAAGTGGTCATAGCTTAAGTCTACGGAGTACAGCTATCAACCCACCCCGACTCATTAAGCACATCCTCTCGATATTGCTCCTGATATTAAACCGGCTGTGTTTCCCAATCAGTCCCGATGGGCCCTTCTGAGATGGAACTATCGAACCACACGTCTTGCTGTCTCCTTTCATAGATTATATTCCACTTCGACTTCGGACAACATTCTAGTTCGCCCGGGCTAACTACTAGGACATACCATAAGGCTTGCCAATAATCAAACCATCTCAGCACACTCTTGACTCAACCATCCAATAATTCCCACGCTGTTCCGACTAACGCATCAGAATTTTCACGAGGCCCGCATCGATCACTCCAGACGATGAGCTCACCGGCTTGGCCTGCAGGGGTGTGTGATACCCCTGCAGCGGCAGACCTATGATGTTGCGGATTCCGACTCCGGTCACGTACCGCTCGCTGCCGGCGCGATCTTAGAGTTTAGGTTAGGTTCCCCGATCAATTTCAAATCCATTGTCTTTGTTGTTCTGGAATCCTGATGAATGGCTCGGAGATTTCCCCTACCATTCGATCTTAGTTCTCGACCCTGTTTGTTGCTTGGTGGGCAGCTGGGTTCGGTGCCTGACCCGGCTTTGTTGCTGTAAAGGGATAGGCATCGTTGAACATCCATGTAGGTTACCTGATTCGTATCCCACCTTGCAATACTACCTGAATCGGGGGTAAATGACGCAGTGAAGTTGGTGCCTCGGTTGGGAGGATCGAGAATCTTGATTCTACCCGACGCTGTATATACTCTGTACGGAGTAGTCAAGTATCGCTGTTGATATGACGATGGTGATCTTGTCCTCCTACCAAGACCGGTAGACCAAGCATAGCACGGACAACACAGACAGCATGGCCTGATGCTCGCAGGATTCCGTGCTGCGTGTCTTTTTGTTTCTTTTATTTTCAATGTCTCTTATTTTAATTTCAATCTTCACTTAGTGGCATTGTTATTAATTAAGGCTTATCTACATGGGGAATGGAAATTGACATCAATTCCCACAAATTAAATGCACGCCAAGATATCACCGATGAATAATTCGCCGCGGTAACTAATGATTAGCCCGATAGCGGCGCCGCCGTGTCATTGGCCCCGGACAAGGTTAGGGCCCCAGAAAACAGAGTTCCGCGGTGGCAAGCGGCCTGCCCGTGGTTGAATCGCCCGTGGGAAAGTATCCAATAATTCGTCCCTGAACGAGAGTTTATCGACTATGTACGGAGTAATCTGTCGCAAAGAAGGAACATTAAGGGCCACCTTAGGGTACTCGCAGTATTGCGAAGGATTCCAACGGAGTAAGGAAAATCTCTGTCGACTGGGAGTGAGACAGACACGCGAGCAGATTCCGGGTACATTCCATCTCCCCCCTTTTTCTTTTTTCTTATTTTTTTTCTTTAACTCGAATAGTTTCTGTTGGTTGGTAATGTTTTCTGGGACGGCATCTCTAGGTTCTGTTAGGTAGGCGACTGTGCCTACACCATATAGTATTCTGATGGTTGTGCCACACCTGTACTAAGTGCTCCAACGTACAGTACACTCCGCAGGCGCTCCATACCCCAGAAGATGCCAGTAGATGTTCACAGTCCAACCCGGATTCCCGTAGATCCTGAGGACAGGCTCCCCCCGTGTGGGGATAAGAATGATGCTTAAATGCTATCCGCCATGAACACGTGCCCTTCTTGTCCAGGATTCAAGGCAGATCATCCAACCGAAAGAAATCGTGATAAAGCATCTGCTGAAACTCCCCCTTTGGGAATAGGCCGAATGTCTCCGTGACCCCTCCGACAGCCAGCCAGGGTGACCATTGGCGGGAGATGGCTCCCTCCCCACCCCAAATCCAGCTGTATACTTTGGCTTTGGTCGGCGGCCAGATCCTTACCTACCTTAAACTCCCTTAAACTCCCTTAAATCCTGCCCGCCGAGCCTGCATGATTCCTCTTTTAAGAAACCGTTGGTACCCTCACTGGTCATCATCCTTGTGCCACGCCACTTGATCCTTATCTTTCTTCTTTTTCCTTCACACGGCATGCTCGACCGATCTCTTTAGTTTCGTCTCCTTCTCTTTCCTTTCCGGTCATTCCTTCAATATATACCTGCATTCGTTTTCAACCTAATTATCAAATCTATCGCCCCGGTATCTCGCCATTCGCCGACACCTGGTCCTATATCGCCAAAGAGCTCCCACCCGTTCGATCTCAACTCTCACGTCATTTTTGTCCATCCTCCCTACATCCTCGACCATCTCATTTTCGACCAATTCAGCCTTCATCCACCCTCGATCGAATAGCAGCCCACGAAATGGCACCAAAAGATGCACCTGAAAAGGTGGAGCCCTTCGAGTCTTCAACGGAAGACCGGGCTGAGATGGAATTAGTTAATGCGTCCGGCCATCGTCAAGAACTCGATCGGAATTTCAGCTTGCTCAGTATCTGTGCTGTCGCGGTGACGACAGGAAACACATGGATTGCCCAAGGTGGCAGTCTGGTACGTGGTCCTGACGCTTGGGGAACTTGACTCCTTACTTAACTTTATATAGGTAACGGCGTTGGGGAACGGCGGACCATCGGGTGTCATCTATGAATTGTATGTCCTGCCAAACGATCCACCGACTCGTGTGTGTCTTTTGCTAATCGCGACCCCTAGCATGGCCGTCTCGGTTTGTTATTGGTTGGTTGCTGCATCCATTGCCGAGCTGGCATCGGGAATGCCTTCCGCCAGTGGCGGTATGTCGAAAGCTAAATTGTCTGTCTGTTTGGCTGGGGATCTGGCTAACTTGAACGCCAGTCTATCACTGGGCATCGATCACCGCCGGTAAATATGGTCGCGTTTGTGGATTCTTCGCGGGTTTCTGGAACTGCCTGGCCTGGATCCTGGGTGCTGCATCCATGTCGGCTATCCTGGGTCAGCAGACCGTCTCGATGTACGCCCTCATGCATCCCGGCTTCCAGACTCAGTCGTGGCATGTATTCCTCAGTTTCATCATCTGCACGTGGATGTGCTGCTGCATCGTTCTGTTCATGAACCGATTTCTCCCGCATATTGGAAATCTGGGAATGTTTTTCATTTTAGCCGGGGTCTTCATTACGATCGTCGTTTGCGCTGTCATGCCGCATGTTAACGGCACGGGACATGCCTCTAATGAGTTTGTCTGGCGCACCTGGCAAAACCAGACGGGATATACGAGCAACGGGTTTGTCTTCGTTGCAGGAATGCTTAACGGTGCCTACAGTGTGGGTACTCCCGACTGCTCGACTCATCTGGCAGAAGAGATTCCCAGGTATTGACACCTCTCTCGATCCTTGCATATTTTCGTCTTGAAATATCTAACTTGGTTGACAGGCCGAGTCGGAACATCCCCAAGGCCGTCCTGGCCCAAATGAGCGTCGGTTTCGTCACCGGTGTCCTCTACATGGTTGCCGTCTTCTACTCGATCAATGATCTCGACGCCGTTATGAACAGTGCATACGAATTCCCGCTCGCCGAAATCTACCGTCAAGCGACTGGCTCGCGGGGTGGCTCTCTCGGATTGCTTATCGTCGCCTTCTTGCCTACCGTCATCACCTGTGCCGGCTGCTATATCACCGCCGGCCGTACGCTCTGGACCATTTCCCGCGACAAGGCGACTCCCTTCTCCGGCTGGCTCTCGAAGATCAACTCCCGCATGCACAACCCCTTCAACGCAACCCTGGTCTGTGGCGGCATAGTCACCATCCTGGCTTGCATCTACGTCGGATCGACTACCGCGTTCAACGCCTTCGTCGGCTGCTTCGTGCAGCTGTCCAGTCTGTCTTACTTTGCCGCCATCTTCCCGCATCTCTTGACTCGTCGCTCGTCCTTCACCCCCGGCCATTTCTGGCTCGGCCCCGTCGGATACGTCATCAACGCGTTGAGCTGCATCTACATCTTGGCTTTCGTCGTCATTTTCTGCTTCCCGTTCGCTTTGCCCACCGACGCGGCTTCGATGAACTATGCTAGTCTGATGACCGGTGGATTGACGATCTTTGTGGCTGTCTGGTGGCTCTTCCGCATGCGGTCCTACGAGGGACCCAAGTTTGTTCCGTTGACGGACAAGATCCTGATGGACGACGCCAAATAAAGGGCGGGTAAATAAAGTGGTAGATGGGAGGAAGGAAAAAGTCGGTGCGGCTTTTGACCGTGAAGTGTGGTTACCACCCCATACTGTGGGTGGATTCTCTTATCAAAATAATTCTCTTCGCTTTTCTAGATTGTATCTATATTAGATGCAACGATACCTCGTTGGCTGGTGTCCAAACATGTTCCTATCATTCAATTTTCCTTTTTAGGAATAGAAACTTTGGTAGGCATGTTGGCTATAAGATATGTAGGTGTTTTGAGGGCTTTCGATTGAGATTCAATCCTATTAACGATCCGTAAAAGATATTTACCTTTGATAGTAAAGTCCTAAGCTATTGTCGCGATCTAAGTCTGATGGTTGAAACACATACGCACATCCACAGAATAATTTATTCCCCAACTTGAACAAACCTTCTGAAGGCTTGAACAAAAAATACCTGTCTCATGACTTGTTAAGGACAAAATGACCCATATCTTCCCTCCTACATCACTCCACTTATCTACCAAGACCAACAAGTAGTCTTCGTAGTTGCCGCGCAGTATTTAGGGCTTCTGCAACCTGCATTTTGTGTGTGTAATGAGCATAATTAAATGTACCTGGCCTCTGCCATCATGTCTACACGTCGCTGTATCATTGTCACAAATGCCTCATACAATATCCTGGCGCACTGTTCTCTGGTGGATCGCTGCTGCCTTTATGTCGGGCATTAAGTAGGAGCATAGAGGGATACCATGCTAATGCACGAAACACAAGATCAAGTGCTTCTGGTTTCTTCCTCCCCAAGGATATGACACTTAGAAGACGAGATGCCCGTTGTACAGCACAATCAAGAAGGAGCAACTGTTCAGGGAGCGGGAATTCAAAGTAGATTGTAACCATTCAACTTGGAATGCGTTAACCATGCTTTCTCATTCTGAAATCCTGAGCACATATACTGTTCATAATTCTCAAAATGTCTGAGCTTTTTCGCACTCAATCTACCCCTACCAAGGCAAAGGAGTCTCCCGATTCCCCGGCGCCAATCTATAACTTCTACCCGAGCTGCCCCAACACACTCATTGACAAGCCCGCCCAATGCCCGTGGCTATCTTCCATTTAATTTCGGATTCGAGGCTGAGGTAATCCTCCGTCCAAAGTGTCCTGCTAATCATGTCCCAAAGCTTCAGATCCCGTCCTCCGATGCCTCACATTCCGAAGCGCGTCGGTTCAATATCACCCTTCTCCAGGCCGTAGCCAACGTTCTATCTAGAGAGGGAATGGGAGCCGCCGTTTACGATCATGGCGTTGATTGTGAAATAGTCTATTCTAGATGGGCTGTGACGACAGATGCATCGCTTTCAAAGGTTCACATTAAAGATGGTTTTGTAAGTTTTGCTTTACTTTCGCGGCGTTGATTAAGTAGAGACTGACTGTATAAGATCCTCTCGAGATAATTTCACCTGTGGTCGTAGCCAACGCCGAATGGGTCCAGACCGTCAATCATTTCTGGGCTGTCCTCACCGAGCAATCCGAATTCCGGCGATATACCTCATGCAGCTTTCACATCCACATCTCATTTGCGACTGGCAATTACTCACCCCGCAACTCCAATCCACGGCGAAGGCAATTGTGTTTTGGGAGCCAGCCACTGCTCGATGCCCACCTCCCTCGAGACAGGATCAAGCCAACAGTTTCTGCAAAGGGGTGATGAAAGACAATGCTCCCTTGGTCAACCTCCTCGAGAGAAGCGGTCCTCTACGTGGACTCCGCCCCGCCTTTGACTATATTGACGCAGCTGATAGAGACTCGATCGTGAATTTCGTGTGCCCCGACAGATATCGTGCCTGGAATTTCATACCCTCACGGACAGGTGGTCATGGGAGTATTGAGATTCGCTGACCTCCCGGGGTTGTGACTGCCAAGAAGGCAAAGCACTGGATAGCCTTTGCTATGGCTTTTTTGGACATGGCCGTTCAGTTCAACCTGGAGATTCTGGCAGCTAATGTGCACAGAGTCGATCATCTTGACGATCTCGAACACCCCGACTTCCAAGAACAGTTCCTCGAATGCGCCAAAGGTATCGGAGTCTACTCTCAACTAGACGCTAAATTATCCCAGAGTGATGACCCGCGATCACTGTATGTAAGTATGATGACGGCAGATCGAATAGCGTGGCTTTTAGCCCAGATTACAGGTATAGTATATACGATTGATTCTCATCGTCCATTATTATCTTGAATTTATCCTATCCAAAAACCAAAACAAAAAAGAATTTAAAATTGGTAGGTTTCCGATGCCTGGTGCCGATGGGGCTTGGGGGCCCTGTCTCTCGGTACAGACAAAGGAACCAAAAAAAGTGAAGGCAAAAAAGAAGGTCTCGGGTTTGAGGCCCATCTTTTCATTTCTCATTTCTATCGCTTCTATACATAGACATATATCTCTTGGGGTTTATAGTCATACCAACCGTATTTGGTGTCTAGGGATTACCTTTACTGCTAATGGTAGTTATAGGGGTGCACTTCACAGAACCAGAGTCAAGCAGACCCGTCGTCACGGCAAGTCTTCATTCTCTATGGCATGCCTGTGCCAATGACCTCACACTGAAGTAAGCTTCCGAAAGATGTAAGGTAGCCCCAATTGACCCGTTATGATTAACTATATACTTTCTTTCTTATATGAGTCACTCCTAGAGACCAGTTCCTCAGCCATCAATCTTCAGTCTTCGCCCACTCGTCGCCCACTCGTCGCCCACTCTAAAAACCCGTTTTCAACATGGAGCTTCTGGATGAACTCGAGAACCTGGCCGGTTTGGCATACATGGCCGATCAGGCCAAAGGCCACCCGAACAACGACGCATACGACTTGAGCATCAAGCGATTTGAAGGTTTCTTCCAACCCTCCTCCTACCTCCCTCGGCACGCAGACCTATTTCCTCATGCTTCTGCTACCGGGGCCACCATCACCTCCGGCGACACCAAGATCAGCTTTCTGGTCAAGCTAGAGGGCCTTCTAGTAACAGCATCCAGGATAGAAGACCTAGCTGGCCTCTTAGAGCTACCACCTATTCACAAAGGGATCGGCGAAAGCGGCCAAACCGCCCAATTCTGCCTGATCAACGGCACGACTAAAAAATATCTTCTCTCGTCACTCGCCCACTCTTTCAGTCCGATTCTGAAGCCGACGCTGTACTGTTGTTGCTGCGGGAAATTCAATAGATGATTGAGATCCCTGTGCAGCTAGCCGGATCAGCTTTTGAAACTGGGGATGCTCGATAATTTGGAAAGGAAGTCGTAAAACAGCAATTGTAGTGACAATTTCTCGTTTCCAGCGTTCTTTACTAAAGGGCTCCGTGATTGCCTGGCTATGGGCCTATGTAGATAGAATCAAGCTTAGCTGGTGTATCATTTAATATTAGTAAAAGACAAGTTCACTTACCTGATCTCGCATTACCTGTCTAAGGCTTGTTTGTTTAGAAACCGAATTCGCGTTTCTTCGAAAGTTTTCTGACTTTTAATGTCTATTCATGGACTTGATCCCATTTAGTGTATAAAATGGGCGATTGAGGAGCTTTCCACATCTCCGACAAAGAACCTTTGGCTGCCCAGAAGAGAAATGGGCTACAGGATTAAAGTGATTCAAAACATCTGAGTGTGTACCACTGCCAGCCCAATTCATCTTTTTCTTATCACTATCTTTACTGCAAAATTCTGTCTGTAGCTACCACTCGATGAACTCATTCTTGTTCATGTCAGAATAAAGAATCCAGCTCTTATTTTGATCAGGGCCAACACGTTGGAGGCAAGAAGGAATTACAAGTGGTCGCGCGAACTCGAGGTCAGGAATTGAGCAAGTGGATTGCTGGCTAAATGATATTTCCGTCATTAGTAGTGGAACATCATTAAAATAAAGGCCATCCAACTCTTCCCCATTATGAAAAGATGAGGAAGAAATGCCAGACATTTAAGGCATAATAGAGTGCTCGACTAAAAAAAGGAATGTAGAAAGATTAATGTGGAAGAAAGCAGTACTTAAAATTCTTGTAAAGAGAGAGACTGATTGACTGACTCTATAAATTGAGAGAAATTTGCTGACTAGATCAAACAAAAGAGAGTCAACAGATTGTACAAGCTCTCATATTGATTAGCTTTGATTCGTTTATAAAGAGGGGTTTTGCATACAGCCTGCATAAAGCCCGTCAAGGGCCTATCTGCCCGCGTACAGCCCGTCTGTAGCCCGTCTACAGCCCATCCGCACCTTTTGAACCTCTTGGGGGAAAGTTTTCTCACAACTCAATAGATCATTTCCAGTCGTATACAGACAAGCAGGTCAGGCCTTCAGAAAAGTAGAGTATAGATTACAGTACTAAAATGATAAGTCTCACTTTCAGCCTTAACTAAATTAATTAAGATTAATATCTCAATAATCATACCCTACCTCAGCCACGGACTTGATTGATTCTTGAGATGTGGCAAATCAGAGGCAGTATAGCCTGGTAGTTGTTGATACGCATCGAGAGGATGATAGAGACTTATCTTCAAATGTAAATTGTAACAAGTTGACTGATAGTTACAAAACTTCATATCATCAACATTTTTGTCTTATATTTTATGAAGGCTGAGTATTTAAAGCTCGAGAAGTTCAAATACAGTATAGTATCAAAGAATTTCAAGAAGATTGTAGTTTGACAGTAATACAAGCTATCATAACTATGACAGGTGTAAATATTAACTAACTAGTTAACAGTCATTTATTTTGATGAATAAGCAGATTATATCCTAAAATTATGCATAGATGGACCCTTGGCGATGTGACGGTCTACAAAGGAGCTTAGTATAAGACAAGTTTGTTTCTGACTCGTAGTCAAAGAATTTTCCCATGGGGAAGAAAGGCTATCTAGGAGGGAGGATCTAGAGCCTCTATATACTGCCCGAGGCTTCGCCTCAGGCAGGAATGCCTGCAGAGCATCCAGGAAGGTTCCTGGATGCCTACCGGAGGGTCCCTCTATCCTATACTAACTAACCAGAACGTTCCTCCGTTCCGGGAAGCTCCCTGGCTCAGGAGGTAACACCCGGGCTCTAACTAGACAGGCCCTGGGCCTTTCATAGGGCTCGTGGTCGGGCTCTGCAGAGCTCTAGAACCGATCGCATGTTAATAGAAATCTTATGAATTCTTTCGATAACTATCAGAATAAGCACCTATAAACTATTGATGTATCGGATGGAGAGATCAAATGGTTTCCCAATAGCTATGAGGAATATTGGGCCTTTGGCACCTGGAAAAGTTATAAAAGAAATGTCTATAATGGAGGAATTATCTCGGTCTGTCTCCGCCGTAATGAACATATTTTCTGGTTAGCTTAGCGGGAGTGCCTGAGGCACCGCCGAGGCAGCCAGGCATCTGAGACACTGCAGGTGTCAAACGACCTACACCTCGCCTGCCCCTCCAGCTTCTGTCGATAATCATTCATTCGAGATAGATCGTTGGATCGATCCCGTGTCATCATCCTGAACCTCCGAATTTCGACGTCGGTGAGGAGCATCAACCCTCATCTAATCCCTGTGCCGGATAACCAGAGCCGTTTCCGAGGCAGATATCCGACGCTAAGGGATAGTCTGGGGTATGGAGTTCAATCCGGGGTAAAGCGCCGACAGGATTTCACCCCCAATGCTTGGCAGGAGTATATATCTTGGGGGGCATAGAGACTGGTCAATCTTTCTGAGCCCCCTCTCGGCACTGCTTGCTTTTGACTCCCAGCGTTCTTCTTGATTTTTGCCTCGAGAAATGGCCGAGCCAAAGAATGACAATGAATGCGTCCATCTCGAACAAGTCGCCAGTCCTCCGCCGCCGCCCAAATTCATTGTCTCGCAGGGTGGCGGTGACACGGCGTTGGCTCTCTTTTCTGACCCCAGCCAGCCCTACGAGCCGTTGAGCACGCAGGAAGCGAAGAAATTAGATCGGAAGATCGACTGGGTCATTCTGCCCTATATCAGTGTCGCCTATGCGTTTTTCTACATCGATAAGACCACCCTGTCCTATGCCGCCATCTTCGGCATCCAGGAGGATCTGAACCTCCACGGCACTCAGTATAGCTGGCTCTCGTCTGTCTTCTATTTTGGGTTCTTAGTCTGGGCGATCCCGACCAATTTAGCGCTGCAGCGATTCCCCGTGGCCCGATATCTGGGTGCGAATATCTTTGCCTGGGGCGCTCTGTTGATGGCGCAAGCGGCGGCCCGCAATTTCATCCAGTTGGCTGTCCTGCGTGCCCTGAGTGGTGCGGCCGAGGCGTGTGCGGATCCGGCTTTCCTTCTTATCACGAGCATGTGGTATACGCGCAAAGAGCAACCGCTGAAAATTGGGTTATGGTACACGGCAAATGGGTTTGGGGTGGCTCTAGGAGGTCTGCTGGGCTATGGCATCGGACAGATCAAGGGGGCCTTGCCGAGCTGGAAGTACGAGTTCTTGATCATCGGGGCGCTGTGCTGTGCCTGGGGGATCGTCATGTACGTCTTTCTTCCCGACTCGCCGGTTTCGGCGAAGGGGTTCTCGCTGGCAGAGAAGAGGACAGTGGTGGAACGGCTTCGAGAGGACCAGACGGGTGTGGAGAACAAGAACTTCAAGGGTTATCAGGTCCTGGAGGCGTTCATGGACTACAAGCTCTATCTGCAGTTCTTGATCTCGCTGATGCAGAGCCTGGTCAATGGTGGGATTTCGAACTTCGGAACAATTATCATCAAGGGTTTTGGGTTTTCGACGTGTGAGTACTAGCTCCTGACTGCGCTTTTGGGAAATATGAGGCCATTCTGACTCGTTTAGTGGGCACCACGCTCATGCAGATCCCGTACGGAGCCATTATCGCCATCTCCATCCTCCTCTGTATATACCTCAACCGGATCCTTCCACCCAACAACCGATGTCTCCTGCTCGTCGCCTTCCTCCTGCCCAACGTCGCTGGAGCATTTGGCCTCCGCTATGTTCCGCAAGATAACCGCGCCGGTCGACTGATCTGCTATTACTTGACGGCGCCCATCAACGCCTCCTTCGTCCTCCTTCTTTCCCTACAGACGGCGAACACAGCAGGCCATACAAAAAAGGTTATCAACAGTGCTTGTCTGTTTTTGGGTTATTGTGTGGGGAACATCGCCGGTCCGTTCTTCTACAAGTCGGAGCAATCTCCGACCTACATTCTGGGAATCTGGAGCATGATTGTCTCGCATCTGCTGGAGATCGTGGTTGTATTCGTGTTACGGTTCCTACTGGCAAGAGAAAACAAGGAACGAGACAAACTGCAGGGAATTGATGGTGTCAATGTTCTTGAGAGAGAGCTTCACGAGCAAGACGTGGACGCGTCGGCATTCGGCGATTTGACGGACAAGGAGAACCTAAACTTTAGATACATTTACTAGGTAGACACAGAGTAAATATACCCAACAGAGTTAGTGCCTCTAGATCTGCATATCAATAACAATCCATCTCTGCAGTTGTAACGATCTGCACGATAACGGATACTTTTCCGTCACCTCATCAACCCCGCAAATCCTCCATTCGCTCATCATTTCGTCCTGTCTTTGATGTAGTATCTCACGTCTGCCGATTTGCTATAAGTTGGCTTGTGTCTCGACCGCCAAGATGATCTAAGACCTTGGAGCATAGCTTGTCTTGAGCTTCTCTTCCTCATCGTCGTCCGTGTGTCTTGGCTACCGTCTCTCATCTTCCTTTCTGTGACAATGACGGACCCAGACCCGAAGAGCTCGGAGATCGAGCAAAGAGAGTACACATCTTCTGCCAAAGATATCGTGAAACCTGTCAGTCGCGCCCCGCAGTATGTGCGGGATTTGTCGCCCGAGGAGCGACGACGTGCCGAGAAGAAGCTCGTCCGCAAGGTCGACCTACGGCTCATGATCGTGACTTTTGTCATGTACGTGATGAACTATCTGGATCGGAACAACATCGCCGCGGCGAGGCTGGCGGGTCTTGAGGAGGATTTGAATCTGAAGGGAAATCAGTATCAAGTGACCGTGAGTATCTTGTTTATTGGGTATTTGTTGATGCAGGGTATGTGACTCATTCGTTACATGTTCAAATTCTATCTGTGCGGTTTCTGTAATGCAGGGATTGTTGATATAATGATATAGTGCCTTCGAATATGATCCTCAATAAGATGGGGAGGCCGTCGATCTATTTGCCCAGTTGTATGGTGGTTTGGGGCACCATCTCGACCGCGACGGCGGCCACACATAACTACGCCGGTCTTCTGTCGTGTCGGTTTTTTCTTGGATTTGTCGAAGCAGCTTATTTTGTGAGTCCTCATCTCTCTTCTTCCAAAGAGATCTAAGCTAAACGGATATCCCTATGATCCAGCCAGGATGTCTCTACCTCCTGTCGGGATGGTACACGCGCAACGAGCTGGTCAAGAGAACCGCCCTGCTGTATTCTGGATCGGTTATCTCCGGTGCCTTTTCCGGCTTGATCTCAGCTGGAATCACGGGAAATATGAATGGCGTCCGAGGGCTGTCTGCCTGGAGATGGCTCTACATCATCGAAGGAGTAATCACGGTAGGGGTTTATCTATGATTGCCATGTACAGTGACTGACACCAGTTAGATCTTCATCGCCATTCTGGCGTTCTTCATCATTCCGGATCTACCTCGGACCACTCGATGGCTCAACGAAGAAGAGCGACAGCTCGCCGCATGGCGTCTTGAAGAAGATATCGGCGAAGACGACTGGGTCGACAGTCAAAACCAGTCGATGTTTCATGGAGCGAAACTTGCTTTCCTGTGAGTTCTTCCTTCCACCGTGGATTCCGCAATAAGCCCTTCTAATTGTTTGCCAGTGACTACAAATCGTGGCTTCTCCTCGCTACAATTTACGGATCAACTTCCTGCGGGACTGTTACGAATTTCTTCCCGACGTGAGCATCTCCTGTCCCTTAATCATATGTCTTTCCAGCGTCGCAAATGATGTTGATATCTCTCATTCAGGGTGATGAAAGGCCTCGGAAAAGGAAACGTGGAGACTCTCCTCTTGACAACACCGCCCTATCTCATCGGCGCCGTGGTCATGCTGGCGAATGCCTGGCATGCCGACAAGACAGGCGAGCGGTATTTTCATATCGTCCTGTCGCCGGTCATTGCACTAGTATCATTTATCCTTGCAGTCGCGACGACGTCGTTCGCGGCGAGATATGTGTATGTCTTACTCACCGTGGTTTTGATCCTAGGGATATAGTCTCTCGCTTGGGAAATTTTCATACTCAGGGTATAATACGCACGCTAACAAAACTATAGGGCCATGTGTCTCATGATTGGAGGCATCTACGCCGGTTACGTCGTGGCATTGGGATACATCTCCAATGGTGAGTCACTTATCATTCTCGTTTTCACAGTCAAAATTCAATATTTTCTCTATGTCAGTATACTAAAACCAATATCATCCAGTCCTCCCTCGTCCAGCCTCTAAACGCGCTGCCGCTCTCGCTCTGATAAATTGCCTGAGCAACGTCTGCCAGGTTTACGCTCCATATCTGTATCCGGGTATGATGTCTTCCTTTTCATAACCGCCTGTTCTATCTCTCTCTCTCTCTCTCTCTCTCTCTACGGACAAATTCACTTCCTAATTAACGATCAACAATACTAACGCTCAACAGACGAAGACAACCCGCGCTACTTGAAAGCCTTCATCCATAACATGGCAATGTCCGTCATGACAATATTCTTCGGAACCATCCTTCGGATTGTGCTGGTGAGACTGAACAAACGATTGGACGAGGAAGAGGGTGTGAATATCCTGGAAGAGCAGGGCCAGGACGGGAACCAGAGGACAGTGCAGAGAGGCTTCAGGTATCTGATCTGATTCTGATTTGGCTGTCTTTGTTCTATGTATAGAGGCTGTGTGGAGATTGGGGATTGGGCATGAGGCTTTCTGGATAGTCTCACCTGTTAGGAGTTTGCTGCTTTGTTCGATTATTTCGCCTGAGTTTTTCCCTTTTTCTTTTGCCTTTTTCGTTTAGTTTCTTCCATTTCGTTTCTTTTATTTTTGTTCATAAAAGGGGAACTCCTTGAAGAGATACTATCGTAAAAAATGAGAATGTATTTACCGGTAGCTCAAAAAGATAGAACGGGTTCTTCGACCCAGACCTCTACGTAGTTGTCTATGGGAATTGATAGGGAAAGGGCCGTTCTTCGCTCCAATAATCTGTTGGTAATTCTGGTCTGCTTAATCGACATCCAAACACGACCTACGAAGGGCGTTTGCATAAGAATTGGACCCAACTCAATGTATTCACTCCCCATCCACACTGACTTCTGTGTTTTGTTTTGTTTTTGTTCCCGTCTTCTCACAACATTCGGATGTTTGCTTTCGCTCCTTTCCCCACCACCATTCCCCCGGTTCTTGTTTACCGTTTGATATCCCTAAGCGATGCTTTCCACAAACAAGCGTACCATCCAAGAAGCCGAATTGCTTCAATTTAAGAGATGGGAACTCTCCCTGCATTCCAGTGGAAAATTCCACATCAGCTTCCATCTTCTGCTTTCGAAATCCAAAAATTCACCTTGAACGATCTTCTATAAAAGCCCATCATGCACCTCGCACGGACCTATCCTTCCCCCAAACCCAAAGACGATTCGCAACGGAATCTCCCACCAGGTCCCTGTCGTGCGAATTCCCTTCAAAATCCTAGCATCCTCAAAATCCCAGGACTCAACTGCCCGAATCACCACCGAACCTACCGCTCTAACCGACGCCGCCCCCACCCCTGGCCCCAAGATGGCGGAGCCAAAGCCATCTCGTTCCCCAATCCCCGAGAACGATAGACGGAAGGAGGAGGAGAAGCACGAGAAGGAGGAGGAGGAGGAGGTGGTGGTGGTGAAGGAGATGACAAAGGAGATGGAGGAGGTGTTGATGGAGGAGGAGAAGCAGAAGGAGGAGGAGGAGGACGACGACGACGACGACGACGAATCTGACTCTGACTTGGACTGGGGAGATTATGTTGTCAAACGCGGTTATTATCGCAACCCTGCAAATCTCGAGAGATACGGATTTCGTCCAGTTTGGTGGGGAGGAGAATACCCCTACGATGAGATCCCGGAAGACATAAAACAACATCTGAACGAGGACGGAGAGGCCAATCACTTGACTTTGATCGGTTCCCTGCGAAGCATTGCCTGGCTGGCCGGGATCGACGAGCTCGTCGAATCAATTGATAGTCCTGCCTATACTGTCGAGGACCGTATAGAAATCATCCCTTACGGGCGCACCTTGAGGTGGCCACTCGAGCAGTTAGACGAGGAGGGGTTGATCTCACCACGAGTCCTAGAACAGGCCTATGCAGACCCAATCTTTTCCAATTCACGGCGGTATAGAGGCTGGCAGCCTTCCCGCACTCGGGGCGGCTATGATGAAGCCCCAAAAGGTGTTGGTGATACTCCCGCCATGTTTCCCCTCAAGGAAATCACGAGACAGAATCGTCTGCAGGGAGATTCCGGCAATATCCAGTGTATGAAGGTTACCAACAACAGGAAAGGGGCTGATGCTATGGAGCAGCTGATCTGCCAGCAAGCTGAAGGCCTTTTGGGGTCGGGAAAGCTCTTGTTCCGGGGGTTGACTTTGAAAGCATTGAAGTTATCTCTTGCTTTCTTCATCCCGTACCTGATCTCATCACATTATGACAACGAGTTTGGACCAGGTATCTACACTTCGGATGATATAAAGACCTCCTTGGATTACATTAAAGACGGTTGTGGGGCGCTTATGGTCTTCAAAAACCCTGACTTGCGGAATTCCACTGTTTGGAATCTCGAAGGCGATGGTTTGGAAGCTTGGGTGGCTCGGTGGACAGACCCGTCAATGGGTGAGGGCAATAGGGATCCTCCGCCAGAGTATCAGTCTGCCGATTTCATATTGGGTCCACTCAATGAGCCAAAGGACGATCATCGGGGCAAACGTCGGCAGCGCAAAATCTACACCCAGCTGGTTGCGGTCAGCTACAAGGGCTGCCAGACCTTGGCCGATTCCCTGTACATGATTATTTTTATTGATCCCTGATGGTCTCTACGGCAGTCTGAACACACTCGCTTTCCTTCTGAAATTGTTTCCGTCTCCATTCGTTACAAATTGAATTACTATTTTCATGCTTCGCGCAGTATACATTCTCTCATTCCCTCGTATAAGTAAGGACCAATCCGCTATGGAATCTTAATCAATTAATCAAAATTCTAATGACCCGATGAAAACTATCTATTGAACGGCTAAGCTATGTACGCGGTATACGCGCTTCGCCGAAGGAAGCAGAGTCTCGTGTCCGTAAGCCATATAATCCCACAAATGCAGCAGAAAAGTCAGATGTCAAACACAACTTAAGCAGCTCGCTAGTGCCTAGGGCGCTGTACAATCCTTTCCGCTCCGTGCTATGTGGATGTTGCTGCTGCGCGCGTCATTGATGGTGATGGGTAGGCCTGACCCAGGCCATCACCTAGAGTTGACCGTGGCCATCGGCTTCCGCGCCTAGATCGATGTCTTCCAGGAGGATGCTGGGCTCCATAGCCGCCTCCTCGTTTTCCTTGTCGTCTGGCTGGGCGAAGTGAAATACTCTTCCGGGTTTGATTCAAGTAGCTGCGTATGACTGTATGGATAGATCGATGTACAAATGTCAATGAGGAAAAACTACGATATATAACGATATGAATGAATTTCAAATGAGATGGTCAAGACGATGGTGGGTGAAAAGGGAAATAAGCATTGAGATAGTTACGGTACCTGGCATAATATTATGACTAACACCAGTCCACCACTCCGCAATAAAAAAGAAATCAGTCCTTTCACCCCCTAATCAACCGCCTACTGTCGGCAGTATAATAGATGTTTAAAAAGAGCAATACAGCGTGGATTCTATTATTCAACCTGTCATATATACTACTATACAAATTTAGGTTAAGTTTACCCGCTGCCCAACCTCCCCGGTGACATTACTAGATAAGCAATTCCTTATTATCTAGCGATGATTTTAGACTGAGAAAGGTTGCTATCAGGTAAACCTAATCCAAATTTGTATAGCAGTGTATATAACAGATTAGATGGTGGAATCCCTACAGAAGCCTACCTACAGCTTCTGCGATCTGCCTGCCTGCAGCCCGCGGACAGCTCAACTTGATCGCGCTCAAACGATCGAAATTCGACATAATTACTCTTCTTATAAGAGAGAGTTTATATATAGTTACACTATTATTCAATTCAATCGCTTAAATTAAGAAAGCTTATTAGGTCTAGCATGCCAACAGAATTTATGAATGTTTTTGGTTGCCGAGTGGCTGGTGCTCAAGGGGCTCCCGGCGGCTCTGAACGTCCGAAAGGAGTCAAAAACTCGGACTAGAACTTCATCGGTTCATTCCCTCTAGGTCGGAACTGGAGAAGTAAAGATTATCAAATTGACGCATCACATAAACTCATAATAGATATAATCCAGTATGTACAATCACCACTCACCCCTCCAAGCATCCACAAACCTCTTAATCAATCCGCTCTCGATCAGCTCCACCCCGCCCTTCAATGCCGGGCTCGCGGCCTCCGACTTCTCCATGTCAAAAACCAGTCCCGCCCGACCGGGGTTATCATTGTCGTACTTTTCCGTGAAGAAATCTAGAAGTTTCACGGTGGGGTTCTTTTTGGGATCCTGCTCCCCCTCGCGCAGCCGTTGCACCCACTGCCGTTTCGGCAGGGTTTCGAATTCTAACCCGGCGGCTTTCAGGGCCGGAAGAAGGTCGCGGGTCCACTGGAAGGTTCGCGCGTTTTGGACATGGTAGATGACCTTGGGATCATGAACTAGGGCTCTGGCCTCGGCGTTGGGGTTGATTCCCGTGAGGTCAAGGATGGCGTCGGCGACGCAGTCGACCGGTAGCCAGGATGGGGTTTCCTCTAGCTCTGGCAGGGCTTTCAGGGTGACGGCACTCTGTAGCATCAGGGGGATTGCTTCGGTGGTGTTCCATTTCCCTGTAACTGTGTCGCCGACGATCTGCCCTACCCGGAGGACCTTGGCCACGAGACCGGTTTTCTCGGCCGCCGCTTGCACGACCCGCTCGGCGACGAGCTTCGATCGTGCGTATCCCATGTTTTGAGCGTGTGAGAGCTCGGGGATAGGGCCTTCGGCGATGGTGGCGGGCAGAGGCGTTCCGGCTGCGGCGGAGATGGAGGAGCAGAAGTAGAATTCCGCAGGGGATGATCGTTGGCTGGAAAGGCAGAGGTTGATTAGGTTGTGGACGCCCTTGATGTGTTGTTGCTCGAAGCTGCGCACGCCAAGCGTAAAGTTCACAGCCCAGGCAGCGTGAATGACCTTGGTGAGAGAGGTGCGGAGCTCATCGATAATAGACTGAGACAGACCCAAGTCCTCGCGACCGAGCTGAGCAGGGAGAGCGACAATCTTGGAAACATTGACCATCGGGAGAGATCTTGCGGATAGAGTGGATAGCACTCGATCTAGAGCAGCACTGGAAGAGGAAGCTCGCACGAGGCAGTATATTTGCTTGACCGAGTCCTTTTGCATTAACTTAGATAAAACGTAGGTGCCAAGCGAACCAGTAGTACCGGTCAGTAACTGTCAGAGATGGTTAGCGGATACACGGTTGGGTTGGCATTGGGGAGCATTACAATGACTTCTTGCTCTGTTTCGCGAGGCGTGAACGCGGAATATTTTTCGATAAGCTGAGACATCACTTCGAGCTCGTCCTCTTCCTCTTGCTCCTCGCCTGTCCGAAGAGCATATAGATGTGCGGCAAGCTTTTTAATGTTGGCAAGATCGAATATCACGTTATGACCAAGTTCTGCTATTCCAATGTCAATTCGCCTCTTGATCGTAGCCCTTGCCTTGATCGCCTGGAGACTATCTACTCCAGCTTCATAGAAGTCGGAATCTGGGGTGATTTCATTGAAACCGAGCTCGGTTTGAAAGAGGTCCAGTAGATATCTTTCTAGCTCAGCAGTTTCCAAGGCAATATTCTCTCCCGAATTCGCATCGCCATCTTCCAGTATCGCGTAAACGGCTTCGATGGCATCATTGAATTCCAGATAACAGCGATTTCGGATCATGGTACCCTTGTCGGTAGCTGGGTAGGTGCAGTCAATATCTAGAATAATCACCATATCTTTGGAGATCTGGCTGAACGCCTCGGCAGACTGATTAGCCGCTTCGATATCTGGCCAGACCTTTTCGAGAATCTCATCCTTGCTCAATTCCTGACACTCGTCGCTCGGCACAACCAACAGACCAGGCAAGGGTTTGCCCACGCCGAAAACAAGATTATCCTTAACAAACTTGCTCTGTCGCACACGATGCTCAATTGGAACAGGCAGAACCTTCTCTCCGTTGACCAGGGTGACCCGATCATCGATACGGCCCAGATACTTCCAAGCGTTCGGAATTGTGGGATGCTTGAGGAAAGTGTCGCGAGTGTAGAAGGAATTTGGTGGGTCGTCGGAATTCGAACTGACTTTGGCGGGCAGTCCGTCCAGGGCAACACATTCGTAGGAACTGTCTTCGAGCTCAATCATTCTTAAGTAGGGCTCGGCGGTTTTCAAAGGTCGAACGTAGTTCCAGGCTTTGTCGTCGGCAGGTCTCTGCGATGTCATGAGCTGGCCTAGCTCGGTTCTACGCACCAAGTTAGCCTAATGTAGTTCAGAGGAGAGTTCATGTACTTGGAAAACCTACGCGCCATAATGACTGATCAGCTTGACGCCATGTTCGACCAAGAGATCTCCAAGATCATCTGGACAGCTACTCCCTCCGAACAGGACCTGTTCACATTTGGCCAGTTCTTCAACACCACCATCAACCTCACTTAAGAGTTTCAAAACGTACGGAACACCGTGGAAACTCTCGGGCTGAGTCACTCTCAACGCTTCAAGAATGTTCTTCCCTGTTAAGGGCAGATTGGCGTTGTAAATTGCAATCGGCTTAGCCTTGAACATAGCTCGAAAGAATGTTGACAGTCCATGATTATGGTAGAGTGGTAAGGTCAGCAACGCCCGAAACCCTCTACTTGAAGCGTAATTGGCAATGCAAGCCTTGTGTGTTTGGAAGATCGGTTTGGGGAGACCGGTTGATCCTGATGAGTGAATGATGAAAGCCCATTTCTGACTCATCTCAGGAGTGCCGTTAAGTTGTAGATTTGGCTTTCTCGTGCACTGCGAGTAGACCGAAAATTCCGGTATTAAGAACGTGCTGATGGAAGCGGCCTCCTGAATGCGCTTAGTTGCCTTCTCGGTCGCAGCAGAATGAATGACATCCGTGCATTTAGTTTTCGCCAGTAAGTTGGTATACGCCTCTGTGCTGAGTCGAGTTGACAATAGCAAAACTGCATAGCCCAGGCGAGAGAGGGCCAGGAGTGAAATGACATAGTCGAGGTTAGAAACACCTAGGATTGCGACCACTTTATTCTCTTCGACATTAGAAAACTAGGAACTTAGTTAGCATGAATTACATTTTAAGGGAAGATCTTCACTTACTTCGGGTAGACCGGAAGCCTTGAGAACTTGAACTGCTCCAGTTGTGAACCTATCCAAATCTGTGGCGGAGTAGAAGACGTAATCACTCAACCCATGGGAGCTTTTCGGATAGCCAACAAGGGGCTTGTCTGGTACTGTCTGCACACGCTCCAACAAGACATCGTTTATGGTATTTAAACATACTTCTTTCTCATCCGGAGGTGTTGGAGGAGGCCTAGGACTGCCGGTATCGCTTTTCGACACCATATCCCCATTCAATAAGACATCGTTGATTTGAGATGTCGTGAGCATGGCTGTAGTTTGTTATTCCAAATTCGACATGCGATGTTTAAAACATCTAAGAGATAGCTTTTGGGGCTTGCCTTGATAAATCGAAGGAATTTAGCTAAATTGCGGAGGTGATGCATGGCTTTTTCAAAGTGTTTCTTGTCTACCGACTTCATTGGCGGAGGTCTCCTTCCTGGGGGTCGATCGGAAAAGCGACTTTGGCCTCGGATAAGCTTGTCTCCATCCGATTTGAAGGTTTTCAAGCCCAACGCTCGTGGCGTGATCCTTCGGCTGACTGATCTTTTCTTTTCGTGGAAGACCTGGGCTCCGCGCAAGGCCTCGTGCGCCCGTAGCAAGTGCCAACCGAATTCCGATGAAAGCCCCAATATCCGGTGATTATGGATCTTGAGTTATACAATTCCACGGCATATTCCCCCGTAAAATTAGCGCGGAGGATAACCGTATAAGACCGCATCCAAATTTCTTCGCCCTCATAATTAATCGCTAGTAATCAAAACACATGACATTCACATTCCAAAATCAGCGGAACCCTCTGTTGGAAACAAAAACCCTAGCTCGCCCAAGCCAGTAAGGGCCAATGAATCGAACTCTCCCCAGCTGGTTAGATCAGCAATGTATGACGCAGGACTGGTATCCTCCATCAAGTCGTCCATCCAGCCTTGTGACTCCAACGGGATCCCTGATGGGTCTAAAGCATTAGTCTGGGGATCTGTCATGCTGCCAGAGATCTGAGGAACGCCATTCTTTATCCCGTTGTCACCTGAATTGTGATATTCAACTTGTTCGTCAGGATCCCTTTGCCTTCCCGTCTCGGCCATCGCGATCTCGGTCACTACAAGGCGCGGCTGGTCTGTCGAGTAATGCTCCATGCCTCTGTGATGCTTTCGTCTGATTGACTCTTGTGCCTCCTTTCGAAGCTCCTCAAGGACCATAACATAGCGCTGCGCAAAAGATGATGTCGATCCGCATGTCGCTAAATCTTTTTGTGCTTGCTCGCCCGCTTGAAAATATAGAGAATCTCCTTGTATGTTGACCGCCTGGGAACGGTTCTGAATAACATGAACATATAGTACAACAATCGCTGAGAATGCATAGTAATGGGTGAACTATGACAATGTTAAACATGCACGGTCATAAGCGTAGGGAGTAACCATACCCAAAATGCATGATACATTTTACCATGCTCACAGAGGTCGCGGACAATCCCTACGATTTTCATCGCGGCATTCAAACAGCTCTGAACATTTTCATTGATGGTTCCATGCAGCTGCTCGTTCTTTTTGCTCGTGGCACTTGCCAGTACGGCAAAGTTCTTGAGAACAAAGGGCCGGTAGAGTAGTATTTGAGCGTGCGAAAAGGCCAGATTCAACACATTGTACTGACGTTGATACAGAGTGATCAACATATCTATACTTGGGAGGTCAAGAAATGCCGACAGTTTCTTTCGCCATTGGGACAACTCGGCCCCGTACTTTGCGGCGGCGGACATTTGCATCTGTAAAGTGGTTTTCTGGATCCCGTATAGATCACGGAGTATGCCACTGATAATTCTGGACAGTTTTGCGTGGTATACAGGAGCGAGCATAATGCTCTGGGCGTTCGAAGTAGCTGGAAGAATGGCGTCGGCTCTAATCTGCGAATCGTTGGCGATTGCGGGTAGTTCTTGATCGATTTCATTATCATGAAATATCCGGGGACGGCCCAAGGCGGCACTGAGATAATTATCCAAACTGTACGCGCACCAAAATACTCTTTTACGACACTCCTGATCCACAAAGTCATCGACCCCTAGGGGGTGTTCCCGGCGTCGTTTGCGGTGCAGGCCGATGGCAATAGCAAGCCGAGCAGTGGTTCCGAAAAGACTCCAGCAATGGTTGATTCGGGACTGAGAAAGTAGATAAAAACACTGCGCCAGGCGTGCTTGGACACTAGTGAGGCGAACAGGTCCTGTCTCAGCTGACAAGTGGTGCTCTGAGGCACCGAAATAAACCGCGCTATTCGAGAAAAGCAGGTCTTATGAATATTCGGATCAAATAATGAAAACTTCTCGAATAGCACTAACCTATTTACTGAAGTCCCTAAAGCAGTCTCTGTCCTGGGCAGGTACTGCTTTGCTTGTAAGAATAGCATGAGAAGTAACGCCCTCACCTCCCTTGCGCCCGGCGCAACGCTTTGGGTGTCATGTAAGCTACCATACAATCCTTCAAGCCAACCTTCGGTCGTTTGTTGATGTAGGAATCGATGTGTAGGAAATCCAAAGTCGAAATACCGATTCAGCAAAGCCTTGGCTTCTTCTTTTGTCGGAAGAACTAGGAACGACGCATCGTATTTGGGCAGTGGGGCATCACCAAAGCTGAAGATAGTCGTGTTTGGCGAGAAAGCGACGTTCTGGTGTAGTCTCTTCTGGACACGAATCAAAAATGAGACGCCAGAGGAAGGGCCTACATAATGACCTTCCATGTCGGTTTGATGGGGTTCAGGCGAATTGCGAGACGATGTAACATTTGCATTTTCATCCGTTGGTAACAACAAACGACCCTCGCTCTCTATGTTGGTTATGGCTGGTGGAGGACGCAATTTTTCTGGAGTCAAACTCGGTGGCATTTCGACCCGCTCGGTCGGGGCGGTTTCTTTCTCCTGAGCTTGATGCAGCAGCGGAATTGGTGGCAATTTGCCCCTGGTATAGCCGGCATTGTATTTACATTGTTGCCCCGACCGCTGGCATAGCGAACAAGGAAGGGTCCCCGAGCAGCGCAGCTTTTTTCTGCGGTATTTGGGTTAGTTTGACGATTTTGGAGAGATCTCGACATTAGACATGGTAGAGCCAGGTGGACGTACTTTTTACACGTATCGCATGCACGCGTGACGCGAACTCGATCCTTGCCGACGCATCGACGTTTGCTGGAAGGAGTATCATTTGACTCCATCAGGGCAGATTCATAATGGTGGCTACCTAGATGGATGCCAGGTGGTCAAGAGCGACCGGTGTGTATTGCGGAGAGATTTGTGGGGAAGAGAGAAATGAGGAGAAAGAGAGTGAAAGGACTCAAAGGAGAGCGTCAGCGGGAGGCTAAGAGCCTTAGGCTAGGCCTAATCGACCCCTCCCGCAGCCTGAGGCCCTCAGGTTCATCTCGGCCTGCGGCTCAACCGACTCTACCGAGCAACACGTTACAACTCCGTTGACTATTGATCGTTGATTTCTATCCTGGTCTAATAAGTTGGGAAAAAACATCCATCTACCACTCCCGCCATTCTCCTCCCGGACCCCGGAATGCTGGACTCCGCCATGCGACTGCATTCACCGAAGCTGCCCTAACCTTATCTTCGTCAATTTCAATTCCTAAGCCAGGCCCAGTTATCAAGTCGATCAGTCCATCCTGTACATTCCACACCTCCGGGTTCTTGATGTACGTTTCGATATCCGCCGAGCCCGCGTTGTAATGAATGCCCAAGCTCATTTCTTGGATCGCAAAGTTGGCACTGACAGCATCCACATGAATATTGGCTGCCAGAGCAATGGGTCCCAAGGGGCAATGAGGAGCCAATGCCACATCGTATGCTTCTGCCATTGTCGCCATTCTACGAAGCTCAGAGATGCCTCCGACATGGGAGATATCCGGCTGTAAAATGCTCACGGATGCGGACTCAAGGAACGGCTTGATGTCCCATCGGCTATGCAGTCGCTCGCCGAGAGCAATGGGAATGGGCACAAGTTTCGACAGAGCCGATATGGACTCTGGATGTTCGGAAAGTAATGGCTCTTCGATGAATAACGGCTCGTGCGGTGTCAATTTGTGGGCGAGCTGTAGTGCCATAGCCTTGTGCACCCTGCCGTGAAAGTCGACACCAGCATCAATCCCCAGGGCCTTCACAGTCTTCAATCGCTCGACAGAAGCATCCAAGGCGTGTGGGGAATCGAGCCAGCCGAGATCTTCGGTCGCATTCATCTTTATGGCTTTGAAGCCCTGCGAAATCCGCGCTTGTCTAAATAGATCATCGGGCGGCATGTCAGTTTATCCACGTCTCAATCGATGAACTTTGGTGGCTCCATACGCTTGAGCTTCAACATCACCCGGTCGGTCGCCTCCGATCCATGCGTACACCTTTAGCTTGTCCCGTACTTTGCCGCCTAGAAACTCGTATACCGGCAGACCGAGTCGTCGTCCTTTACAAAAATGTATGTTAGCGCTATTCATGCTCGAGGCATTTGAGGTCCTCCCTGCTTTGAAAAGGGAGCATACCTTTCAAATCCCAAAGGGCGATATCTATTCCCGACAAGGCACTCATCAGAATTGGCCCGCCTCGGTAGAATCCCATACGATAGCCATTCTGCCATATGTTCTCGATTTCACTGTGATCGCATTGAGCACCATTCCCTGGTAAGGAACCTCTGTACTTACTCTGCATCCATGCCCGTGAACCGTTCAATGAAAGCATCGAGAGCACCTTCTACCGCTTCCGAATGGCCTTCAAGGGATGCCTCGCCCCATCCAAAATTGCCATTGGCATCCGTGATCTTCACGAAGAGCCATCTTGGCGGTACGCGAAAATACTCAATTTGTTTGATTGGCGCCATGGGTTTAATTTTTTGAGATAACAAGGTGAACAGGTTCGGAACAGGAAAACAATGATGGCTCTGATCCCGTGTGTATGACACTTTATGAGTTGGAGAAAGTCCCTCATTTACCCCTCATTATGACTGGAAACTGTTAGAATAAACAAAGAGGTAATAGATCGTCGTCATCGAGCCCGCGGTGCAACTCGGAGTTGCTGCGATTTGCAACTACATCGGATAAGTATATCCGCCAATCGGAAAAGCGGATGGGCGGACCTTTTTCCCCGGCACTGCCAAAGTGACCCACCGATTCCCTTCCAAAGGGGCAACATCATTGTCTTCACGACCATTCAAAGTGAGAGAATGAGCTCAGACGATCCGATGATGGTACTTTACCCCTCATTGACGCTCTTGATGTGCCGCTAGAAGTGGGGGAGCTTTTTTCATCTGTTATTCGTCCGACCGCTTTCAAAAAAAAAAAAAAAAAAAAACTACTCTTTACTTAACCGCGAAGGCTCGTCGTCTACTTTCTGAGGTCAATTGATTCTCAAATTGCCAATAAAGGAGAAATTCGGCTATACGAGACTTTTCTCATTGCAATATCCATAATTATGTCTCTCGGACGAACATTCAAGCTAAATACGGGTTATGAAATCCCCGCGGTTGGGCTGGGAACATGGGTAAGTAGAAGGAATCTTATTATTGAGAGGACTATGAATTAACTATGACCATACAGCAATCGAAACCAAACGAGGTTAAGCAAGCTGTTGCTGCGGCCCTGAAGGGCGGTTATCGTCATATCGACGCTGCCTCGGTCTATGGTAATGAGCGCGAAGTCGGTGATGGTCTTAAGGCATCCGGTGTCCCCCGAGAAGAGATCTTTGTAGGCATTCATCTTCGAATATCTTGGGTAATTTGTACTAACCGATGGTTATATAGCTCACTAGCAAACTATGGAACACCGATCACGATCCCGAGAACGTTGAAGCTGCTGTGGATCGTTCATTGAGCGATTTGCAAACAGACTATCTTGATCTTTATCTGGTGAGTGTTGTCTAAGGGAGTTATACAAGCTCTATAAACTAATGCAAGATTATTTACATCAGATCCATTGGCCAGTCGCGTTCCATCATTCATTGACAACCGTTCAGCCGGTCGATGAGAAGACGGGCCTCATCGACGTAATCGACGTTCCGATCCAAGATACTTGGACGGCTATGGAGGCACTCGTGGCAAAAGGCAAGGTTCGATCGATTGGAGTCAGCAACTTTACCAAAGAGAAAATCGAAGAACTACTCAAGACGTAGGTATATTGTGTCGATATCATTTGGCGCAACGCAAGACACTAATTTCATTCTAAGAGCAAAGATCCAACCTGCTGTGAATCAAATCGAAGCCCATCCCTACCTCCAGCAAAGGGACTTGTTGGAATGGTCAAAGCAGAAGGTAGGTTGATCTAGAGTTTTCGGGTTATTTCTATCTAACATGCACCAGGGCATTGTCGTGACAGGATACTCTCCCCTCGGCAATAACATTTACAACATCCCTCGGTAAGTACCTGTAACCGCAAGAAAAGTCGTCAATAATTTAATAATATACCAGAGCTGTCGATGATCCTCGTGTGATTGAAACCGCCAAGTCTCTAGGCAAAACCCCTGCGCAGGTCCTTGTCAGCTGGGCCGTACAGCGAGGAACGGTGGTTCTTCCAAAATCGGTCACCCCGGAGAGAATCCAAAGTAACTTTGAAGGTAGGTTAATGACCATGAGACCGGGTATATCAAATAGCTAAGAGTCATCACCATAGACTTTATCCTTCCCGAGGATGCGTTTCAGGCTGTTCAGTCCTTGGAGAGACATCAACGCCTGAATTTCCCAGCCAGGCTTGGCGTCGACATCTTTGGGGAGGTTGGGGAAGAGAGCGTTAAGAAAAGTGCACTGGACTGGGCTGAGCAGCAGAGGAAACTTCGAAACTAGGGGTTTGAACTGATTTTACTTTCAAGGGATGATGTTATTCTGTAAAGACCATAGATATAGATCAGTCAATAATAGCTCTGATCTAAAGATATATACTGGGAAGGAACGGCCAGCTGTATACCCGAAATAAATTCACACTTCAAAACTATGTCTACCCATGGCGCACAAGTCTCTCAGTGAGAAAGAGCAAATTAGTTTTTATGTACTTAGTGCAGGAGAGCTATTGAGATGATGAAGATGGTTGTAGAAGAACCCAGTGTTGCATATAAACGCGAATGCTTGGCAGGGTGCCTCAGGCATTCACACATCCCACGCGACTTAAGCCCACTGGCCTCCAAGCAATAATATTCAACCCTCAACTAAGCACTCTCACTTATTCAGCGTTCGATGCAATAAACCAAGGGATTTGCGTGAATGAACCGCCCGCACGAAGATCGCGACTCGAGAATCCCACCCATGCCTGGACCTTGCCCTCCGGAATGACCCACTTCTGCTTCACGACATCCCATCGACTGATGTCCCTTCTTGTTAAATCGAACGTGACCGTTTTAGACTCGCCAGTTTTGAGGTGGAGCTTGTAAAATCCACGAAGTACCTTCTTTGCCTGAATTTGGGAGTTCGTCGAAGGCAACTTGGGTAGGTTCAAATAGAGCTGCGGCACCGTGGCGCCTGCTGTGTGACCGGCGTTCTTCACGGTGGTGGAGATTCTGTACAGGTTGTCCCATAAATGGGGATTTCCTCCGGGCAGAGTCTTTGCGGATAGAGACTCAGCGGATAATTTATCTTAAAAAAATAAGCGTAATGGTCATGTTTCTTGCCAGGGAGAATGTGGTATAGGAGAGACCGAAGCCGAACTCGTAAAGGACAGATTTGTTGTGAAAGTCGAAGTGTCCTGGAATTTTTGTTAGTCGTTTTCTTCTCTCCCTTGAATCCAAGAAATGGCGTTTTATAATCATGGAACCTACGGTAATCAATTAGATCTCCACCTTTGAAATCATCCTGCCAGGCCGTCGGATCTTCCGCGTTTGTGAGAGACGTTGAGTTGACAATAGGCGCATAAGAGTAGTCCGATTCTTTCTTAGCGATGGTATAAGGTAAGTGACCGGATGGGTTCACGTCACCCCAGAGCACGTCGACAATACTGTTACCGGCCTCTTGACCTGGGAGATGTGCGACCAGAATTGCCGTGACATTGGGATGGTTTGCCCATGGCATCACGTTTATTCCACCCGTGTGAGAGACTACCACAGTGTTGGCACATTTGGATGCAACTTTCTCTACAACTTCAGCTCCAAGCCAGTCATGGAGCAGCGTAGTGCGGTCTTTACCTTCAGTAGCCCAACTCTTCAAAAAGACTAGGCAGATGTCTGGTGGTGAAGGGAGGAGAGCATTCATACTATGGTTATTGTTAGTGTGTATCTTTCTAGGTTGAGAGATGTACGTACCTCGGACTGTTATCTTCAATAATGGCAGTGTTGTTCAACAGATATTGAACTAGAGTTTTCTTGAAATTGGCACGCTGCTTGATAGCTTCCAAGGGGCTGACAACGTAGCTGAACAGGCCGGAACCTGAGCCTTCACCCGCTGGAAGCACGCCGTACTCGTAATTGCTGACCCCGTCAAAGTAGAAGAAGGACATTCCGTTGGTGAATTCACCCGCATCATTATCATAAACAGCGATCTGCTTCGGTGATTGCAGTGGTAGAGTGTAGTTGACATTTTTCAAAAGCACAGTGCCCTCCGCTGCAGCTTTGCGAATGAAGTCTCCGTGATTGCCGCGAACATCAACGTTTGCGGTATGAGGAAACGTATAGTTGTAGTTCTCGTACGTCTCGGCTGTAAGTTGTTAGTGATTTTCATCTGTGGAGGGAGCTCACTTACGGCCATCAAAAAGAAGGGCGTTGATATCCTTCGAGCTCGGGTCAACACCCGGAAATCCCTGGTCTTGATTTAAGTAGAAGTAAGGTGTCAAGACCCGATGGCACATATCGTCCAAGCGGCCGGTTGAAACTGATCCGTTCTTTATGGCCTCTGTGAGGTTTGGACCCCAGTAAACGGGTCCAAAACTGGAGGTTCCTGGCATATCCATATCTTCTCCTGAGTTTATGGCCTTCGGTCCGGTGTCAGTGGCACCCCAGTCGAACATCACGTAGCCCTGGAAGCCAAGTTCACCTTTGAGGATACCGTTGAGAGTCAGAATTTGCCACTTTGATTTCTAGTCTTGATTGGGGCATACTCACTGTCGCCACTCCGGCCTTGACTGCTTGCTGGAAAGGCCAAAGATAGAGCTCATGGAGAGTTGTATCATCAATGTTAGACGAGATGCTCTCGATTGTCTTCCCATTTTCGCTCTGAGACGGCTGCCTTTGAGTCTCCTGTTCATTGCCGATGTAATGTTTTGCGCAGGCTTGAACACCACCATCCTGGGTTCCCACGATGGTTTCAGTGAATAGCTCTCCCATCAAGAATGGATCCGGCGAGAATCCCTCCCAGTTTCGTCCACCCAAAGCTGAACGACCGAGTGGACCGGCAACTGGTCCCAGGATAATCTGAGACCTCTTAGCGCGGAACTCCGCCGCATGCTGATTTCCTCGCTCGTAAGCAATGCGCTTGTCCCATGTCGCAGCGATCGTCACACCAGCAGGGAAGACCGAGACATAGGTTCCTTGCTCAAGTGCCATTGGTCCATTCTGGATGCACAATCCGGTGAAGTTCAAACGCGGGATGGGTATGATGTTGCCCACGCAGGGGCCTTCGGTGCCGGAGACTAAGCCAACTTTCTCTTCGAGGGTGAGCTGGGATACGAAAGATGTGGCTTTGTCAAATGCGTGCTCCCACTTTAGTCCCGTCGCGTTGGCTGTATGTTGCGATCAGAGTCAATGCATATAATGGTGTCAGAAGTCACTCATGATTGGGAATCTCATTGGCAGTAGACTATGCAGGTAGTCATTGTGATTCCATGCCGCTCCTGCTACGTTTGTCAACGCAGCAATTGCTTGCAAGTAGCCCAGAGCTGTAGACATCGTGATTCTTCACTCCCTTATTTGCTGAGAGACTGTGGACTTGTCTACAATCAAGGAGGGATATTTCTGGTGTTAGGCTACCATTTTATAGTCGAACAGACACTGCTCCCTTCACTATTACCCAGTAGGTATACTATTGCTGGGAACAGCAAGAAACAAAATATCGTCTCTCGGTAATCCTCATTGCCCATCTTCATCTCAAACCGTGGGGTTTCCCTTTTTGGATGTTTTCAATTGCAAAGACGTGCGGGTGAACTTCGGGTAAATCCTCATGGTTCGATATCTGACGTCAAGTCAAATCAATGTTCTCCTAGTGCTGACGATCGAGGATTAACTGATCAACGGCATATTTCAAAACAGAGAGACAGAAAGCAAGCCGGGCTTAGTTTTGTCTCTAAAGCATAAAAATAAGTCAAAACAAAAACGTACAACAGCAGGGATTCGCTGGTGGTCACCCACCCAACTACTAACCTGCCGGCGTGTGGTTTAAGTACGGCTGAGCGGACGGGAAGCCCTGTTCTCCACACCCTATGGTCGTACGTATTAGAGATAAATGAACATTTGCACTATATATCTCACTATTTTCTTTGGATCTGCATAACCAGATCCTCTAGATTATTAGTGTGGGTAGAATTGCTGCTTGACCTCCACCTGCTTCCATCCAAGGCGTCCACTCTTGCTATTTCATTGAATAGCGGTAGACTCTATCAGAGATGCAGATTTATTAAAAATCGGTGAACACTGGCTCAAGGAACACTTTACTCCTTATATAAAGGACCGGAGAACAGGCCAATATAGCCTCTTACTCCTTGACGGACATGACTCCCATTTAACACCTCAATTTGATGATATATGTCGTCAATATGATATTATATCGATCTGCATGCCCGCTAATTCCTCTCATCTGAGTCATCTCTGTCAACCGTTGGATATAGCCTGCTTTTCACCATTTAAAAGGGCCTACAGCAATTCATTGAAAGGCTTATACGAACAGGATATCATCATATCGATAAAGTTGACTTTCTTGATATCGATTTAGAAGCCCACGTCCAAGCCTTAAAGAAGGCCAATATCCAGAGTGCTTTCAAAGCCTCCGGAATTGTTCCTTTTCACCCGACAAAGGTTCTGGATAATCTCATCTTCTACAGAGAGGAGAGCCGGCGAAGCAGCCAAGGAACTACTTCAACTATTACTAAAACGCGTTTAAATTTGGAGCGATTCAAGGAACATGAGTCTACAATCTCTCAGTTACTTCAACAAGCAGATTCCCTGGCTTCACCCATGCAAACAGCGTTATCATACATCTTTAAGGGAGCAGAGATAGCCTTGAATCGGGCGGTTCTCTTAGAGCATGAAAACCTTCAACTTCGTGAGACTGTTGAACGATGAAAAAGAACGCAGCAGCGCAATCAACACCAGATGCATGGTCTGGATGGCTTCACAATTCAGGAAGCCCGTGAGGCCTTCGCCAACG